AAAGCCAGAAAGTATGCCTCATACACAGGGAAATTTAAAAACAAAAACTCCACAGTCAATAGAAACTGTCTCTGAAAAGGCATAGATGTTTGATCTACTAGACAAAGATTGAAAACCTGCTATTATGAATATGTTCAAAGAACTAAAGGAATCATATCGAGAATTAAATGAAAATATAGGAAAGTCATCAAATACAGAATATCAGTGAAGAGATAGACATAAAGAATGACACATTCTGGAGTTCAAAAGTACAACTGAGTTGAAAAATTCATTAAGGGGGTCACTTGTAGATAGAAAAAGGACGAATCAGCAAACATGGATGACAGGTTAATTGGGATAATGTAGTCTGGGGGAATAAAAAAGATGAAGAAAAATGAACAGAGCTCAGAGACCTATGGAACACCATCAAGTGTACTAATAGAGATTTATGAGAGTCCCAGAAGAGAAAAAAGAGGAAGGAAAGAAATAATATTTGAAAAAATAATGGCCAGAAACTTCCTGCATTTGATGGGAAACATCTTAGAAGTCCAGTGACCTCCAAGTAGGAAGGGATCCACACCTGGACATATCATGATTAAGCCATTGAAAGCCAAAGACAATTTAAAAAGCAAGAGAGACATGACTTACTATATACAAGGCTTCGCCAGAAAGAGAGTAATAGCATGTTTCTCACCAGGAACTGTGGAGTTCAGAAGACAGTGGGATGACATTCAAATTCCTGAAGGAAAAGAAAAAAACAGTCAACCAAAAATTCCATATCCTGTAAAAATCTCTTTCAAATACAAAAGAAATGTGATACATGTTTATGCAGAAAAACTTGTTCACAAACTTGAAATTATTTGCAATAATTAAAATTCAGAAACAACCAAGATAGCCACCAGCTGATGAATGGATAAATAGCATGTGGGATGTTCATTCATGATTCATTGCTAAAAAGGAAGGAATTACTGATACTTGATGTAGCATGGGTGAGCCTTGACAATATGCCAAATGGAAGAAGCTGGCACAGAAGGCTACATATTGTATTCCATTTACATAAAATGTCCAGATTAGATAAATCTATATAGAAACAAATTAGTGATTTCCAGGAGGGTTAGGGAAAAAAGATGGTGAACGATCGTTAGAATGGATTTTTTTATTTTGAAGTGCTGAAAATGTTAAGGAAGTAGATAGTTTAATAGTTGCACAACTCTGTCAGTGCCCTATAAGCCACTGAATTGTACACTTCAGGAAAGTGAATTTTGCAGAATTATAAAATTGGGCTTCTTAGGTATGCTTTCCATCAAATGCAAGAAGTTTCTGGCCATCACTTTTCCTCCTTTATCTCTTAATAGAAAACATTTTTTAAAAAATCAATGGTACATTGCTGAAAACTGTCATGAATCCCTAAACCAAATGAAGGAATAATCTCGCAATGCAAAAATTATCAAGAAGCAGATTTTGAGTGAAGAGATGTCACAGTAGCTGGCATTGTAATATTTGATTGCTAGGAGACCCTGAAGAAAAGAAACAGAAACAGGAGCAGCAGGCCACAAATAGCAGAAGAATTCTTTTCTAGCTGGGTGTGGTGGTGCACTTCTGTAATCCCAGTACTCTGGAAGGTTGAGGCAGGAGGATCAAAGGTTCAAGCCCAGCTTTGGCAACTTTAGTGACTTAATGAGACCCCGTCTCAAAAATAAAAGAAGGCTGGAATGTAGCTCAGTATGAAGGTCCTTGGTTCAGTCCCCAGTACTGCAAAATCAGTGAATCAAATCAAATTAAAAATAAAAATTGGGCTGGGCATTTCGCTCAGTGGTGCCAGCACCTGCCTCACAAGCGCAAGGTCCTGAGTTTGATCCCCAGTACCAAAAAAAGTTAAAAAATCCTTTCCTGAGAGAAGGGTGGATTTCAGATTTATCATGTTCCACCAATTGCCAAGCATCTCGTTGTGAAACTTCTAAATTACAAGGATTAAGAAAAATAATTGACCTGCTTCTAAATGAGGGAAAAAAAAAAGGACAATATTAGAATGCTACCATTAAGGACAACTAGAAAAAAGGAGCAAAATCTGTGACCTATCTTGTTCATATCTCCAGAGAATTACTAGGATAAGGGGATTGGAGGTGGAAGCTTACAGTGACTCCTGAGAGCCAGGCCCCAAGGTCCATATGCTGAGCAGGGATTTCAACAGCCTCTTCACACTGGGGTCCACCAGGAGCACAGCCCCTGAGGAAGTGAAGGTACCTTCAAGCACTGTGCTCCTGAGGACCAGGCAGAAGCAATTGCCTGGCTTCTTCAAGAAAGCATCTGTGTGGAGCTCATCATTTCTACAGTTTTTTAAATGTTACATTCAGCATAAATTCATGAATTCTCAGAAACATGGCAAGAGACACAAACAAACAATAGAAACATCCATAGGGGCTCCAGAAGAGTTAAGACACACAGATGCTAAGATAACTGTATCAACTCTGATTTTGAGTTTGGCTGGCTATAGCAGAGTATCGTAGGCTGGTGGCTTCAACACAGCAGTTCATTTCTCACAGTCCTAGAGGCTGGAAGTCCAAGATCATGGTGCCAGCAGATTTTCCCCTCCCAACCACCCCACCTCCTAATACGGTCCCTTCACCTTGGGGATCAGGATTTTAACATAAATGAGGGGCACAAGCATTCAGTCTATAACATTATGTTAAAGACACTACTGAATACCTCATCTGAGAGAAAACCGTAAAAGAATGAAATGGGCATTGTAGGATTAAAAAATAAACTGCTTTTAAAAATACTTGAATGAATGTAAATAGCAGCTTTGATACATTTGAAGAGAAAATTGGTGATTTTAGATAAAAGTCAAGAAGAAAACTTCTAAAATGAAGCCAGAGAGATAAAATAGTGGAAAAAATTAAAAACAGGAAAGTACATTTTAAAAAAACCCAGTGAGAATATGTAGTGCACACTTGTGTCTCAGAAGACGAGAGAAGGGCTAGAAGCAGTATTTATAGCTGAGCATTTCTCCCAAAGTAATAAAATACAGCAAGTCACAGAATAAATGAAAATATCCCTAGATACATCATAGTAAAACTGTTGAAAGCCAGACTCAATGGGAAAATTGTAAGAGCTGCCAGAAAATGTGCATGTGCACACACACACACACACACACACACACACACAGAGTGCTCAAAGTAGCAATAGTTAGACTGACAGCTGACTTCATTGCAGAAAAAATAGAAACCCAGAGATATTATATTTAAAGGTCTTAGAGAAAATAACCAACTAGAGAAAATATCCTTTAAGACTTGGGGCCCAATCACGTTTTTCAAACCATAAAAGCCAAAGAAGGTGTCACACACCAGACTGCAGTATAAACAACGCTGAGGGATGTTCCTTCGTAGAAGGCAGAGGATTCCAGATGGATGGTCACAGATGTAGAAACTATCGAAAACCCAAAAGCATGAGGCAAGAAGTCTGGGGTAAAGATCAAGGCATAGCTAAATGAATAGTGACTATATGAAACAGTAAACACAGACAGATGTGTATACTAACAAAAGAGATGGCTGGTGTGGCGATATTAATGGCAGGAAATGTGTAGTTAGAACCAAAAAGAGCAATGTGGACAGTGCAGTGGTTAGATCACTGCAACTCATTCCAAAGAACAGTAGTCACCAATAACTCTTTCCAAGTGAATGTGATGAATAAACCTTCTCCACTAAATGCACCTCAGAACATAGCAAGGCATTACTCTCCACTGCCCTACCAAATTTATAGCTACTCCTTCCCTTTCTTTGTATTTTAATTTCCTCACCCCATCTCTGTTAGTGTCTTCCTTTCATCCCACTTATCCTTTTCTTGCTTTTCCTTTGCGCTTGTCTCACATATTACAGGCATGAGAACATATTTTTTCATTGCAGTTGATAATATATTTATTTTGTGATAGACTATACATTGCATAAAACATACTGTTTTAGCCATTTTAAATATACAGTTGAATGACATTAAGTGTATTGACATTGTTAGGCAGCTGTAGCCACTGTTCATCTCTAGAATGTTTTTCGTCTTGAAAAACTAAGTTAACAAATTTTAATGTTTTCTGTTCTTAATTCTAAAGGTAGCACAACTGAGCATTTATATTTCTAGACGAACCTAGTTATTTTTACTTTGTTGAGCTTTGGTTTGCCATACAGTTTATCATTTCCAGGATGCACTCATTTTTACATTTTAATATCTTGTTAATAAGTATCTCTCACTGTCAATGGCATATTATAGCTTAATGACACCGGGGTTTGTTTTCCGTTTATAGGGCATTTTATTTCAGGGAACTTGTTAGAGTCAGTGAAATGTGATCATTTTTCCTCTGGGTCATTTCCATGATGGAATTATCTGAGACTTGTAATCTATTTCAAAATGCTTAGTATGACACATTTTTTTCTAACTGAAATGGTTCTACAAAATATCTTGAGTTCTGAAAAGTAACATTTTAAATAACCTTGTATTTGATATGAGTCTTATAAGGAGAATAAATGAGCAATGACTTAAAAAAAAAACTTTATACTTGCCATAGACTTTGAATTTTATTCCAGTGTCCACCCCTCCCACACCAAGCGCATGCAGCACCAGAAGCTTATGGTTAGCCACAGTCATGGGACACAGGCTGCTGAGCTGCTTGTACTCTGTGGCTCCATGGCTCCTTGGCTCAGCTGACTGGAGCTGTCAGTTACTGAGGTCCATCTGTAGGCGCATGTGGCTGATCCCACATGAGATTGTCAACTCTGTGTCCAGGCCATGGATGCAAAAGCTGCCTTCAGCATACCCACACACTGCAATTAAGGCCTTGTTTCCTTGTGTGTGGGAGGGGAGGAGTGAGGAGAATTTTTAAATTTTAAAAGTTTAAAACATCACCTCCCTGTAGCAACTGACGATGTGACCGTCTTATTCCTTTAAGCTTCACTTTCTGCTTTCACTGGGTTTGTTGGGAACTAACTGGAACCTGGTGTTGGAGGATTCATTTCTTTCCTCTCTTGATTGAATAGCCTGCAGTGAGCTGCACACCCCATCGCTAGATCGAAAACCAAATAGTTTTGTGGCAGTGAGCGTCACCACCCCCCCTCAGGCCTTCTGGACGAAGCATGCGCAGACGGAGATCATCGAGGTGGGTGCTGCTGTCCCTCCCCTCTGAGGGACCCGGGACACTTGGTGGTGCTTGTGACCCCGACAGGAAGGTCGCTCAGTTCCCAAGCACCCGTAGCTGCTGTTCATTGTATTTATGTGAGTTGTTGCATGTTTCAGTACTCAGTTGTGAGCTGTTCTTGGTAGTTTTTATCACTCCTACTCATCTGGGTGGCATTTACATTTGCTGTGTCCTTTACTGTTACTGATTAATGACTCATGGAGGTCCTCGACTGTAATGCTAAAGGTTGGTTGCATTTGAAGAAGTCAGAACTAATTCTTCCTTACATTTCCATTTGGTTACTGGTTTTAGAGAACTGTGCTCAATAACCAGAGCTTGGAGGAGTTAACTACTAACCAACCCCTTACTGGGCATATCCCTGTTTTTGTTGGTTTTTATTTTTACATCCTTTTGAGTTTTACACATTTATTCTTCAAGTTAAAGTTTTTTGGATCTTTTGGTCTTTTTTTGAGACAAGGTCTTCCTATGTAGTTCAGCCTGGCCTTGAACTCACTGTGTAGCCCAGGCTGGCCTCTTGGGCAATCCTCCTGCCTTAGCACTAGGATTACAGGCATGCATCACCATGCCTGGCTTACTCTTTAAATTAATTGATATACATTCACAGAATTTTACAAAGTCCTTTTAGATAATGAAAATATTATATAAGTTATAACATGAAGTGTAGGAGTCGCTGGTATGAAATTCTACAGAAATTTATTTGTAGTATGAATTATCAAACTTAAACTACACTTACATTGTTTTTACATTTTTACATATAAACTTAATGAGGCATAATTTTACATAGAGCCTCTTAAAGTGGTAGTACATTTTAGAAGACAGGCCACTTTTTCAGTCTCTGAGAAACTTGTTTTCAGGTTCAGGTCAATCCTTGTGTGCTAAGCATATTTTGAGCACTGCCTACACATCAAGCACAGTGCTGGGTGATGACACAAGACTGCAGGGTCCCAGGCTGTCCAGCAGGCACTGAGAGGCTAGATCTGGAGCTATAGGGAGAAGAACGCAGAATCCTAGGCACCACAGTGGCCAAAACAGGCCAGTAACGACTTGGTGGAGACAATTAACCATGGCCTGAGAGAAAGAATATGATCTGCTGGAGCTGTGGGGCAGGGTTGAGTTGCCCAGAAATAACCACCTGTGATCTGGAAACTAGCAGCTCCTCCTAAAAAGAATAGCTTTAAAAAGCCAGACTTTAATTATTCCAAATATAGGAGTCTAGAAATAATGTAAGCCATTCATTTCCTCATTCATCTGCCTGTTTGTGTGTCTTAAAGGACAGCCCAAGGTAGCAGGTCCACAATATACCTAAAAAGCTGTAACCCTAGGAGCGTGTGCAGCCACTGAACTGTCTTCACCTTTAGAAAAATCCTCCTCTTGGATGTGATACCCTTAGCAGTGAGCCCCAGGCACAGCTCTGGTGGGCCTGGTTGTTGTATCTGGATCTGTAATGGTCTACCGCAGACTACATTTTCCTCTTCTGGAAAGCAGTTTTTTGGTTGTATCATCCACTTAAGTGCCATTAGCATATGGGTTGATCCAAGTTAGTAAAAATGTTAGTTTCTCATTGTGAAAATGTTAATGTTTTTAAAAAACAATGACTTTTTTTTCTTTTCTGTTCTAGGGAACCAACAATCCTATCTTCCTAAGCAGTATTGCCTTCTTTCAAGACTCTCTTATCAATCAGATGACACAAATCAAACTATCTGTGTATGATGTCAAAGATAGATCTCAGGGAACAGTTAAGTAACAGGTTGTGGTTCCTGGGTTTTCTTCCTGCTTTACAGTTAATCATTCACGTGAGAGGTGAGCGCAAGATTGATTTCACTCTGGCTCATAAATTAATATTAACCCATGTTTAAACGTGTTTGTCTTTGTGAGCTTCTTTCTGAGCCCCTCTTGGGCTCTTGAAGTGGGGTGAAGCATGTTGTGGGAACCAGAGGCCAGACTAGTGCACTCATGCTGTCTCTCCTGTTCTCTTCTTCAGATGTATTTACTGGGCTCTGGAACATTCATTGTCAAAGATCTGCTCCAGGACAGGCATCATAGGTTGCATCTAACACTAAGGTTACTATTTAATTTTGTTCCTTTGAAGAGATCTGGAGTCATGAGGTCCAGGGATAGAGTGGAAAAGGGCCCATTTCCTATTTTGAGAGAACACCAGGCCTCTGAGGGGGGACGTTGTCCATGAGGTGATGCAGTGTGAATCCCCCAGCCCATCAGGATGGAGATGTGTGCTCAAACCTAAAGGAGGCCTAGATACACATAAACACACACACACACACACACACACACACACACGCATGCATGATGATTTTAAATGTAGTTGTCTACGTTCTGTCCCCTTCCCAGTAGAATGTGACCTTCCAGGTAGGAAGGATTTTTCTCTGCTTGCCTTCATTGCTGTGTCCCAACCACCTAGAACAGTGCCTGGTACTCAGTAAATACTGAGGGAATGAATGAGTGAAAGAGAAACTCCCACTGTGTCCCTGGGGAGAGGTGAGAAATGTCCACACTTCCCAGGTTCATTTTAGAAACAAGTCCCACCCAAACCCAGCATTTTGTTCTTTATTCAGAATTATGTAAAAATTGGAAAATTATTGTCTCGGAAAATAGTTCAAAATAGCAAACAAGAAAGATTTAGTCCCTGCAATCTGAAGATATTTGGGAGTTAGCACAAGTAACGACAGTGATGCATGTGGCTGTCCCATCTACAAACAGGAGGAGAGCTTTGCCAGCTCCTCAGTGTGTATGGAGAACTTGATTCAGGAAAAAGGAAGAGTCTTAGGAAAAATGAGAGGGTTCATGTGAGGGAAAAAACTGCTTGAGAAAAAATATTTAGGTAGATCTGTGCCAGAACTAAATCTAGTTGGGTCAGAGTTTAGTATAAGAAATGAGCATTTTCCTTTTGAAAAGATGACTGTGGGATGGATAACGCAGGGAAGAATTTTTCCAGGCAAGAGAACAGTGAAAGTCGCAAAGGAAATGGTCAGTACATGTGACCACTTACAAATTTAGAACTAGACTAAGCCAGGCATCATAAATAAAATGCAAGGGCTCCCCAGGATGATTCACTTGGCCACAGGCCATTGTCAGGCCCTGAGGAGTCTTAGAGGTTCGGCTAACTAGGGCTGCAGTGGCACGAGCTGTATCACTCAGCATTCAGGTGCCTCAGGAAATCCTTGGTGGTCTTGGAATACAGGCCTATGCCTTGGGACTAATCAGAGATTAGGGGTGGGTGGGAAGGAGTAGAATGGAGCCTGGTGCCAACAAAAGATCCTCTCCAGGCCCTGAGATGTGCTCCGTCATCCTGGCAGGGTGAGCCCAAGGGCTGGCTCCTCTTCAGGGAAGCCCCCACCTTCACCAGGCACCTCCACACCACCCTTGTCATATGTGGCCCTTTCCTATGCCCTGAGGTTTCCTTTTCTGCCTTCCCCAGAGAAGTGTATAACTGAGAATGGTGACAGACTGACCCATGGCTGGGCCTTGCCATTCTGGGGACCCCAGATGACCCAGGAAAGCTGACCTTTGCTTTTCAGCAGAAAGGTAGTCACAACGCCACTCACTAAAGCACTCTGCTTGTGGCAGGTCCGCAGAGAGTGACCGTGTGGGTAACATCACCGTGATCGGCTGGCAGATGGAGGACAAGTCAGACCAGCGGCCCCCAGTGACTCGGTCCCTGGACCCCGTCAATGGGAGGGTGAGTAGACCACCTTCGTCCTGTCCCTCAGAAAGAGTAAGAAGACCTGTCCTCAGGGACTTACTGGGCTCTGCTCAGCAAAGGACAGGGCCTGGTGCTTGATGCCCAGGGAGGCTCCAAGTAGGAAGCAAGGGCTCCTGGTCTGGCCCGCAAGGCCCTGCTGCCCTGGAGCCCACCTCTATCCACTCCCACTGACCTCCTCTAAGAAGTGGGAGCCAGAGGATGAAAACTTGGCCTAAGGGTGGGGTTAAGAGGCAAGTGAGACCCAGGCTGTCCGCCAGACGTTGGTGATAACAGTCTCTCTCAGACACACTGGTGCCCCACAGACCTTCACACACTTTGTCTTCTTAGCACCCCCTTCCCCATTTGCCCTCATGTGCCTCCCAGACCACAGTCTCATGACATACTCCTGTGCTTCTGAATGAGAATCCTAATGTAAGTTCCCCAGCACTGCTAAGTAGTCATTGTAAAATATAAATATCTCACTGTGCCCCAAATAAGTCCCGAGCACCCACTCTGGGGATGTTCCTTGGCACCATCTGTTTGTCTCTCATTTTGCACAGCAGAACGCTGAAATATGAGGGGAGATGCCCAAGGAGATACACAGGGAGAGAGCCGGGCCTGCTGGGGTTGCTCTGTGTACAGGGCATGTGTGGCGCGGGAAGTATTTGCACAGTAGAGTTCCTGGTGCATATTCGGTTAAGAGATCTCCTTGTGATGTCTGAGGCCGCCATTCATGTGGAGCACACTGGAGTTGTCTGAATCTCAGTTCTCTTGTGCTTTTCTGTCCACATCATTAGATGGTTCTGCCTGTTGATGAGAGCTTGACTGAGGCATTGGGAATCCGATCCAAATATGCTTCATTGCGAAAAGACACTCTACTGAAATCAGGTAAACAGCTTTCTCCTTTGGTTCTCTTGGCACACTTGGGAGTGTCCCCACAGCCAGAATCGCCCTTTGCTCCCCACCTGCTGTGACTGTCACAGCCATGCCCTGATGGTCCCCACCTGCTGTTCATCGCTCTGCCATCTTTCTGCAGCGTAATACTCTGAGGAAAGGGTTCCTCTTCTTCATGCTTTCCAGTTTTCCATCAGGCTTAGTGACTGACAGCCTCCCCACCCTAGCCCCTTGCCCTTTACCTCTTCTGGGACAAGAAGATTGCATGTCATGGTGGATTCTTCAGGCTTAGTCACTTGTGGGGTCTGGCCCCAGTGTTTTAGCTCTGTGGAGAAGATCAAGCAGAGTGCCTGGCAGAGGGACCCGAGCGACCCAGGGCCAGCTTACCTGTAGCCCGGGTTCTCCTGTCCTCCTGCCTCAGTGTTTGGTGGTGCCATCTGCCGCATGTACCGCTTCCCAACCACCGACGGCAACCACCTTCGGATCCTGGAGCAAATGGCAGAGAGTGTGCTGTCCCTGCATGTGCCCCGGCAGTTTGTGAAGCTCCTGCTGGAAGAAGACGCGGCTAGGTGAGGTATCTCCCGTGGCACGTGCCCCTTCCATTTTGAGATGTGGCAGATGCTTGGCTGGACTGTAATCTGGCCTTTGCTCCATCTGCCCCATGGTAGGGTGAGGATTCCACAGGTTAGGGCTCGAAGCCCCAGAGGTGTGCCCAGCACTTCGCCCTCTCTTTCCTTTTCTCCTGCTGCTCACTTGTCCTTCAGGCTGTTGGAAATAGCTACTTGTTCTTCAGTAATAGCTGACCAGTGGTTTCCAAGGTCAGGGCCACAGATCAGGGCTCCAGCCACCGAGCATGATCCATCCAGGTACTCTGGTCCTGTGTACTGAGAGTCTTAACTCCAGGCCACAGGCAGAGGCCTGAGAGGTGGCTCTGACCTACAGATTTGTCTCATCTGACCCAGCCTGCCATTTCTACACCTTGTCCTAAAATGATGTGAACTATCAGCACCATGTAACTGAAGTGTGAAAGAAAACAGGGCAAACAGAACCTCGCTGTTCTAATACAGCTGTTTTCATTTTTATGTTGAAAAAAATTTAGAGAAAATAGCAAGAATAGTGCAGTAAATATCCAGATACCTTCCACCTACTTTCAGTATTTGGTCATTTGCTTTATCTCTCTATATGCATGTGTTTTATAATTTTATTTAAAAAATTTTTCTTTCGGTTTTGCCCATATTTGCAATATATTTACATAGCTACAAGTCTGTTTTTCCATGTATCTTCACTTTTCATGTTTTTAATTGTTAATTATGTAATGCTGTCCTATTATCTGTGTGTTTCAGCCTCAAAGAGCTCCTTCCTTGGATAGGTGCTTTAGCTTAAGACTGACCTTGTTATTGTTGTCTTTGTTGTTGTAGTGGTTGTTAGTAATAGCTACACACTAGGCACCAGGGATGGTCCAGGGTGGTAGACCCAGGAGCTGTACCTATTCTCATGTACACATTGTCAGATGTCTCCATGTGTGGAACGAGGGAGGGGTCAGGCCTGGCCTCTGGGGAATAGCAACGCTAAGCTGACACCAGAAGCACAGGGAAAGACACGAGGAGAGGGTGGGAGGCTGAGCAGTTGATGGCAGGGCATGGGGACCTTGGTCCCACCAAGGCCCTGCCTGCAATGACTGTTTTTCTGTTAGTTTTACTATTTTAATAGTAATAAAATGGCAAAAGTTTTAAAAGACAATTTAGCAGAGTCCTAAAAACTTTGTAAAATGAGCATTTTCCCCTTTCAAAGGAAAATATGGGGTCCTCCGCTTTCTCCACAGAAGCAGTCACTTTCAGGGGTTCGAGTGAGTCCTATATTTCTAAATATGTCCTCAAATTCTCCTGTCTTCATTAATCATTGTCAGGGATTAGCTGCTGATTTCCTGGGATGAGGCGTTTAGGCTTTTACACTTTCTCAGTCCCCATTTTCCTAATATGGTCTTCTTTTTCAAAAAATTCATCTTGGGCTGTTATGATCATGTTGTTGTTATTCTTGAACTAAGCTTAGAATTCATATTTCAGCTCTTACACACTTGCTCAGCTGATATTTTGCTGGGGATAACAATTCCTCTTTCTCCTCTTCTCCTTCTTCTCCCTTCCCCGCTCCCTCCCCCATGCCCCTGTCAGGCACACATAGTAGCCAAGGCCAAAGCCAGACCTGGGATAACTCCATGGAGCGCTTTCAGTCTCAGACAGCTCTCCACTTGCCAGAGGCAGTGAAGGGGAGAATAGCCAAGAGAGCCAGCTCCTTATGGTCATTGTCCAACCCAGAAAGGGTGAAACAAGACAGAAGAGCTGATGACTGCAGCCTGAGCTCTGGGAGTCTCCTTGCTGAGGAACCAGCTCTGGCCCAGCAGCTTTCTCACCTGCTGCTCTGTTCCCGGGGCAGGGCGGGCAGGAAGTCCACACCTGGGGAATCTGGGAGGCAAGGGACACTGTCTTGACACCCCCCGACGGGAGGTTGCCTTCGGGCGGTGACTGCAGGACTCCAGTCCTTTGTTATGGAGGGTCACGTGTCATCCTGTCCAGTCGAGGGCAGGCCAGGCCTGTGCCTCAGTGCTTCCAGCAGGGTCTCCAGGGCACAGTGACACAGTCACTCCTTGACAGCCTTTCCCCTCATCCCCACCTCTTCTTAGTTTCCCTTGAACATTCGACTGCACTCCTGTAGAAAGCTTCTCTGCCCACTCCCATGTGGTCATTGGTCCACCTGACATGTAGCTGCCCGTCCCATCCCCTGGTTGCCCCGCAGGTGGACAGTGTAACCACTGCCTGGCCCTCCCTGGGTGCCAGTGCCCCTTCCCTGCACCTTCTGCACTCCTGGTAGGGACCCTTACCCCCCCCCCACCCCAGGTTTCACGTGTGTGTCTTCCTTGCAGAGTCTGTGAGCTGGAGGAGTTGGGGGAGCTGTCCCCTTGCTGGGAGAGCCTCCGGCGCCAGATTGTCACCCAGTACCAGACTGTCATCCTTACGTACCAGGAGAACCTGACTGACCTCCATCAGTACAAAGGTGGGCACAGTCCTGCCCTCTCGAGACACCTGTACCCCCACTTTCCTGGCCAGAGATCTGGAACACAGGTCGCTCACACACTTGCACTGACACTCTTGAGTGGGGTTTTAAAAATAGATTTTCATGTAGGTGGGATTCTTTCAAATGTGGGGTTTTCAGATCCTAATTAAAAAGACCAATCAATGAATTGCAGGGAAAATCTTTCTGTAGTGTTTTCTGCCTAAACCACCATTGTAGGATGAAATTTGGGGAGACAGAGCTACAGACTATATACCACTGAAGCAACCAAAAGGATTAAGACATACAGTTGCCTTTAGACAAAGCAGTTTTCCAGATTTTCTGGTTTCAATATTCAGTGTTACTTTAATTGGACATATAAATTGTTGGAGTGGAATCCTCCATTTAAGGCTCAAATACCTCCCTTTTTCTTCCTCTTCTTTTTGAGGTCCTGGGGTTTGAATCTAGGATTTGTGTATGCTTGGCAACCACTCTACTGAGCCACTCCCCAGCCCTTCATCATTTGATCTTTTTTTTTTTTTGGTACCGGTGATCGAACTCGGGTCCTTGCACTTGCGCAGCAGGTGGCAAAACCACTGAGCTAAATCCCCAGCCCCTCACCATTTGTTCTTAAGAGGTTTTGCCTGATTTTCAAAATACTCTCAGGGTAGATTTAGATGACTTTTCTCAACTCATTTCCATTTTCTCCCAAATTTAAAAAACAGTTTGGTTTTTCATTATTTTATTCATTGCTTTAGTATTTCAAATTATTCTGTCTTCCCTTCTTTTCCTCTACATAATTTTATTTTAAGGTTTAAAGAAAATCTTAAGTCCTTAATGGATTTTTGACATGGGACATAGGAACCTGTCCATAAACTTGGGTGACAGGGAGCCAAAGAGAGGCTGCATGGGTTAGGTTTGACCCTGAAGAACAGGTCTAATTGCACCACTGAGAAATGGCAACATTTGCCTGAGGAACTAGGCACCTACCCATGCTGAACAGATGCTACCTGGGAAAGTGTGGCACCCACACAACCTTGAGTTTTCCAGAACAGAGCTTCTCAAATGTCAGTCTGAGAATCTGGTTAAAAAGCAAGTCCGGAACTCTGCATTTCTCTTGAGTCCTAGGACTACCATGCTGCTGGTCTGAGGGCCAAAATGTGAGCACCAAGCTCTAGGGAGTTAACTCCTGTGGCAAAATGCAGAGCGTACAGCTGCTGGCCCTTGACCTGCACGCTGGCAGTATTCACCAGGTGGACTATTTATTTCTTCTGCTCCTCTGATCACCATTTAAATATGTAATCCCTGTGTGTAGTAGGCATGTGGTTCTTCACTTAATTAGTTATGGATTCTGGAATTTGTTTATAGAAATAAGCTTGTGAATACAGGTTACAAAACATCAGCCTCTCTAACTAACCAAGCATACACAAGGGCCCTTGTCAGGCCATTTGTCCTCGGGGCTGGATCAGTGCTGTGTGTCACTTGTTCATTGTGATGGCCTGTGGTGATGAGCAGACCTTCTCATCACTTACCGGAATTGAGATGTGTTGCTCTGGGTAATAGCAATCTCTAGGCTGGGACAGCAGTCTGTGGCATGGACTCACTTGCATCTTAGAGTGGTACTGATACCACGTTGCAAGATCACATCTGTGTGTCAGGTCTCTGAGTTGTGAGCTGAGTCCCAGAGGGCATGGCCTTCTGCAGCCAGCTGAATCTGGTCCTTCCTGGTGCCCAAGTACCCTGAGCCAGTCTCTTCACTGCTGAGCTGCCCTTAGCCCCCCATCTGTAAAGGCAGCGTGCTCTCAGACAGCTCCGTTTTGTAGGCCAACATTTCGATACCTACTTATGTGCAGCTGCAGCACCAGAGTACCATTTTTGTACTTGCTGTTCACGACACAAGTTGAGACCTTTGTTTTCTCATATTGCATTTCTTAGGTCCCTCATTTAAAGCAAGCAGTTTGAAAGCAGATAAAAAGTTAGAATTCGTCCCCACAAACCTGCATATACAAAGGATGAGAGTTCAAGATGATGGAGGATCAGGTACCTCTTTTTCTCTCTTGTTGAATCATGTTCATCTGTTTTCTCCCTGGATCCTTGGTCCTTGAGCTGCCTCACATCTGCCCCAGTTTTCCTGTGCACTGTACTGCTGGGTGGCTCAGAGAAGAAACATCCTAAGACCTTCAAGAGGTCTTTATAAAGAACTCAAAGCCCTCCCTCCACTTTTTTTCTCAAGAAGGAAGGAAATGAGTGTTGGGAGGAGCTTCGTACAGCCCTTCATGGCTGTACCTGGAGCCCCACAAGAAGTCCTCTTTGCTGACATGATGGTGTTGGACTCCTGCGGGCCCTCTGACAGCCCAGAATATGGGATTAAGGGAACCAGAGGCTGTGTGGAGATAGGTAGAGTGGTGTGCATATCCCTGTAGCTGGCTTGTCCACAGGCCTGAGACCAGAGTAATGGAGGAGAGTTTTCTGTCATTCAGATCAGAACTACGACATTGTCACCATTGGAGCACCAGCAGCACACTGCCAAGGTTTTAAGTCAGGAGGTCTCCGCAAAAAGCTGCACAAATTTGAAGAGACTAAGAAACAGTAAGTAGAAGGAGGGGTTTGTCGTGCTTGTAGAGCTGTCTGATGTTTCCCAGTTAAAAAAAAGAAAAGTCAAAAGATGATTGCAAAAACATCCAAGCATCCAGTCCGCTTCTGTGTAGCAGGAGGAGCTGCGTGTTGAACCTTGCGCTGCTCTATGTGTGTGATTGAGTTGGTGGGTGATGAAAGCACCTCAGTAGTGGTCCTGTTCCTTCAAAATGAGCAGCACCCTGTGACCTGCCTTTGAGTGATGCTTCAGCCCACAGCCCTGTGCAAACTCTGCTGGCTCTGCTTCCTCTAGAGTCCCTGGCCAGTCAGTTGAGCAGCAGAACCATAAACGCAGGAGTATACTGTGTCCTTCCTAAAGGGCAGCAATAGGAAGTATTCTGTTTGAAAAGGCCCTCGCGGCTGCCTGGAGCTACTATCTGGAGCAGGAAGTTGCTAAGTTGGCAGTGTGGGGAGAGACATTTCAGCTGAGGCCATGGTAGATGCAGTGAAGAAGAGGAGCTAAAGCTAAGAGCTGGCCTTGTTGCCAGCCTGCTTTATGCTGGTAACTAGGGACATGGGCTGACATCTAGGCCTAGCCATGTGGAAAACAGGGCCTTGCCTGGGAGCAGACAAGTTAGCAACTACCATTTTGGTGCAACTGGGCCTGGACTGTGGAGCAGGGCTTTGACCCAGACTAGGCGGGAGAGAGCCATGAATCCCAACTGTTGCATTGGACACAAAGGAAACATTCCCTGGTGATCTTCTAGAATGTCACCAGGCATGCTATAAATGGGTCAAGGGGTACAAGTGTTAGAGGTGGAGGTGATGAATATAGATGACCCTGTAAGATCCTGAGGTAGAGGAAGTGGCATGGAAGTCTTAGGTTGGGGAGAATAATTAGGACCTGAGCATGTGTTGAGGTGAGACTGGGAGGAAATTGCAAGTGAATGAGGTGAGGTAGAAGAGAGCACAGCTGGAGGGCAGTTCTGGAGAAGATGAAGGGGTAGGAGCAGCCAGTTTAGCCCAGAAGGGACGAGAGGCTTGCAGAAAGGTTTGTGAGGTGGGAGAGAGCAGGCTGAGTGTGGATGGAAGCACGTCTGCCTTCTGTGGTGTGAGGAGGTTCAGACTTAGCAATTGAGAATGGAACAGTTTGAGGGAAGGTGAAGCAAAGACCCAGGGAACATCCAGAGAGCCCCATGTTGTTGGGTGCAGACAGGTGGAAGAGAACTTTAGCGTACATGGGGACCCAGTGGGCTGTTGCCCAACTGTGCTGCTGTGAACAGCAGTCAGGATGCTGCATGAGAAAATTGCCCATGGACTGCATCACAGAGTGACTAGCCAAATAGTTAGACGACTAGTCAGTTCATAGCCAGGTGGTCAGGGAGTCGATCAGAGCAGCACTGACATGGGGAAGGAAGCCTGGTGGCTGAGCAGGGAGCAGAAGAGGGTGTACCAGGAGAGGTGTGCATGGTGGCTGGCCAGGCCCTGCGGGTTCTGGGTATGAGGAGGAGAAGCAAGGAGGGTTGGGTCAGCAAGGGGACTTGGGCACTGGCTGGGAGGCCCCACAGAGCCTCCTTGACCTTGATCCTCCCCACCAAGGGCACTGCTCTGTGCACACAGATGAGGGGACCAGACCTGCCCCAGTATTCACTGTCCCCAGGGGTCCCTTGGGGAATAGGAAGACCACAAAGCTCCCCGAGGCCACCACAGCTCTGCATAGCCGGCAGAAAGCGTGTGTCTGTGCGCTTTGCATGTTGCCGTGTGGAGAATGCGCGCGTGACCTGCGACGGTCTGGGGGCCCTGACAGGGAAAGCTCAGTCCCTCTGTGCGGCCAGCTGAGAGTGGCCTTCTGGCTGTCCCTGTCATGGGAGGTTGGAGTACTGACACCTCATTAGCCTGCATGTTCACTTCAGAACTTCTCCCTACCCAAAATGCTTCTTCAGTGTTCTTCAGATATGCACGCAATTAATTTCCCACAAATGTGACAAAGTCCCTTATATACCATGTTTTCTCCCGTCGAATTTTCCTTCAAGTGCAGGTGTCCCTGGCCCCCAGTGGGATGAAGCCACTGGGCTCCTAAGTTTAGTCCTCTCACTGTTGGGGCCTCCACAAGTAACCTGAAGTGTTTTGACAAAAATTTACTTAGCTTTTAAAAGTTTTTGTTTTGCATTTGTTATCTGCTGACTGCTAATACCTCATTTTGGTTTTTTTCTTTAGCAGTTTTGAGGAGAGTTGGTGAGTTTTATGTCTGTGCAGAGAGTGTCTGTTGGTTCTCGCTCTCGTGCTGTTCCAGCCTGCCCGGGGGGCGCTGCACCCCACAGGGCCAAGTGGCTCTGAGCTCCCCGCCTTGTAGATGAGCTCTCCCTTCCAACTGCAATGTTCTTGGATAATGAATAGCCAGTCTGCAGTCTACTCTTCACCTCGCTAACCTGGTGGCATCTATTGCTCTACTGACTCAGGCAGGTCCCAGTTCTGTTACTCTCAGGCTTCAGAAGAGCCTGAGTCCTCCAAGGGCTCTACATGCTGGGATCTCACATCCCCTGACTGGTGTGTGACCCCCTTTCTGTCTTCTTTTACAAGAACATTGAGACTTTTCAGCTTTCACCTCACCTTCACCTTGTGTACAAATGAAATGATACTTATTGATTTGTGTGGATTTTTATAATAGTGTTACTAGGGTCCCTTTTACCTCCTGGGGGGCTGCATTTAGGGCTCCCCTCCACAGACCCAGTCCCAGAACAAGGGCTCTGTAGTGTCACTTCATTCCAAGGCACCTGCAACCTTGGGAAATGTTACTGCCTGGAGCTGGTGACCCTGACCCTCCAGGGCCACAGGCGAGTCCTGCCTGAGGTGTCAGGGTGCTGCAGGAAGTCTTGAAAACAGCTCCACACACAGCTCCTTCCCTGGAGAGGGCTGTGGCTGCTCCTGCCTCTGCTAGGGGGACCCACAGCCTCTGTGGAAGTAGCCCCTGCAGGATCCCTCTCACCTTTTCTCCATGGGCCCCCATTGAATGTCTGTTCTTTCCCTTAGCAGGATGAGTAAAGGACTTGGGGTTGGATATGACAGATGGGAGTGAGTGGTGGGACACAGCCAAAGGCCCCATGCCCTTGGTAAGTCTCCACCCAGCCATCTTAAGTAAACCTTAACTGGAAAGTTCTTCAGGTTTCCTCTTAACTGAGGAGATAAGACCTTTAGGAGCCCAGCGTGGGCCTGGTGACCCCACCCTACCACCCCTGTCTTCCCTGTGCACAAGACATTCCTGAGACTTGTAAGGAGCCTTCCTGCCTGGCAGATGTGAGGACTAAAAGTCCCAGTCAGAACCTAGCCCCTCCACCCTTTTCGCCTTGTGGGACCCAGCTTCTCAGGAGTCCAGGCTCTGCAGAAGCAGCCTTGGTCTTTGTGCCCACAAAGACTGCTGCTCATCTGCCCCCAGCCCTCCCAGAACACTGCACCCCTGCACTCTCCTGGCACCTTCAGGTCCGCTTGCTGTACTTAGGCCTGGGAGCCCAGGGCAGTTAGTGGCACCTAGAAGTCCCTTCCCTAAAGGTAAGGCTTCCGGGGGGGGGGGGGGTACATGTTGTAAAGTAGCAGAATATCTGCATCCTGGTGCCTCTCCTTTATGGGGCAGTGTTTTTAGAGCAAGGTAATTGAACCACATGCTCGTATGCTCCCAGTCACTTCTGCCCTGCTCTTTTGCAGTTCATCCCCCTTTCAGCCTCCCATGGCCTTCCGGTGCCTGTCCCAGGTGCTGTTATTAGCACATGACTTGTGAGAGCACAGGGTGTTGGGAGAGTGTTTTCCTCTCAGGCTTGGGGGGGTTATGTATAGGTTGAAGAATACACTACCACATACATACACAGAAGGAGGCCTAAGTACGGTATGAATTTCATATTGAGGGCCTGGGAAGAATAGATTTTTAAAAATTTCTGTTTTGAGATGTATTTTAAAGACGTAAATTGTCTTAAATGGCTGCTATTCATTTGGAAGAGTGATTGCAGATTGGAAAGCAGTTGCGCGCACATGGCGTTGTGGAATGGCCCCTGGTGCCGTGCAGGCTCGGTTGCCGTCTGCTGCATGGGCTTCTGGCAAACTCATTGTGTTCCATTATGGTGTGTGGGTTTGTGGTGGTGCTGTTTCTTCCTGGGTGCTTTGGTTTGTGATGTTTGCATGTTTGCCCCATGGTCCAGCAGCAAAAGGGGCAGTGGCAATTTCTTGGTGACCTGCTCTTCCAGGTTTCCCTGGGGAGGACCAGCTGGCCTTCATCTCCAGGGCACATGGTGGAGAGAGTGTGTACTGAGGGCACTCTCTCTTCTCCACCTTCTCCTTTGTCCCCAGAGCTCAAAGGGTGGCCTTTTGGGGGCCACTGAGGGCCCCTCTTTCCAGGAGGGGGAGGGATATAATCCACCCAGAATTTTGAGTCCCAGACTTTAGGAGACCTCTGCACTGGCAACTTGTACCTCTTCCCTTCCTTGGCCTCCTCAGATGGTCAGGAACCTAATCTATAACACTGAAATGACTGGGATCTGAACTGGAAGACATGCAGTTTGTTATTGCCTCTGAGGGAGATCATACAGCTCCATGCAGCCAAGCGTATGGACCAGGCTGGGAGGCTCCTAACTGTCGCTCAGTGGCTGGGCTGTCACTTTGACATTGGCCCCCAGATACGCATGCTTCTTGGTGGTAAAGAGGTGGGAAGGAGAAAGAGCCAGACTTTCAAAGCCACACAGGTGCTGAGACCTTGCCACTGGCAGCACCTTCTCCACTTCCTCTTCCTCTGGTGCAGTGTTATGCCTCAAAGAGGGAAAGCCCTGGCACAGGGAGAGAAGAGGAGCCCAGCATCCTGGAGACTCACTAGGGTCACACACATGAAGGAGAACCGTGGGTCTGTTCTCAGAAAGTTTGAAGGTCTGGTCAAATGAAAAAGCACGTTTTGCAGAGTTTTTTTGTTTTATTTTGTTTTGTTCTGTTTTGTTTTGTTTTGGCAAAGTCTAGAACCTACTATAGTCTTTCCCTTCAGTGGGATAATTAGACCTCTTCTGATATAACCCAACCCCAAGTGTCTACTTAAGAACTGCTTTTAAGTTGATAGAAGTTCTTAGGTAAACATTCTAAGCATTTGGAAAATTTTGGGGGGTGATGTTTCAGTGTCTACACACATATACATGGTAAAATTGCAGATACAAACAGAGATAAAAGACTTCGTCCTGTTATAATATTTTGTCCTTCTACCATGTAGATAAGAAAGATTGGCCAAGATTTCTTTCTGTCCATCCATAGCTAGACTAGCCCAGGAAACAAAGTATTCTTTGTTTTAGGGTTGGTTGTGGGCCAGGGTTGAGCTGCCACCTCCTTCCTCATCAGATTCGAGAGGACCCCTTAGATCTGTTTTTATCCTTTGTAGTACTTCGTCTAGCTGCCAGTCCATAATCTACATACCACAGGACATCGTCAGAGCCAAGGAGATCATCGCCCAGATCAACACCCTGAAAACCCAAGTTAGTTACTATGCAGAGCGGCTCTCAAGGGCAGCCAAGGACAGGTCTGCCACCGGCCTTGAGAGGACTCTTGCTATCTTGGCAGACAAGGTAAGAGGGGTGCTCTCTGCGCATGGGGTAGGGGTTCCTGTCGGTTTCCAGAAGCTACTGGACCCCACAGGGCAGCCCAGCCCAGAGCTGTCCTCAAAGAGAGTGACATTGGGATGACCTTGAAGGTCTCTCTTTAGGTCTGCTTCCTACGAAGCCTCAGAGAGGTTTGGTAATTTATTTTCTTTTTGTCACAGAGCTGGATGAGCCCTGGCAGAGTCTCGTACCTGTCAGGTACTGCTTCATGCAAATGTATTCTCAGCAGGACCCTGGGCTTGCAGTGTTGGCCAGAATAGTCCACAGCTTTCCTAGTGGTGGCCTAACCAGCACTTTGCGGGGGGTGGGAGGGGCACATTTCTATTGTTGTTGAATTTTTAAAAAAGAAACTGAGGTATCATATAGGCATAAGAAAAGATCAGTATAATCTTACTGGCTTATATGTAATCAGTAAACCAGTTCTAATTAATTGTAACTCAGTTGCCTTAAAAAATATGTAAATGTTAATCCATACTGAGGGAGTGGACATATCAGACCTTTGTGAAGAATGATGTTTTTCTTATTGTTCTCTCTTTCTCTAACACTCACATACACCGATTCTGGTTGCACATCCTCACCCACACTTGCTTTGCTGGGTGTGAACTGCTGTTCCTGATCAGACTGTTATATCTTTCATATGACACAGCAACAAGGTTGGGAGATTAGATCTGCTGGAAAAGGAAGGTGTAGTTGTCAGCAGTAAAATTATGAACCCCACAACCCCTGATGTATACCAAATTCTCCAAAACCAGAACTGTTGTGCCAGGAGCCCAGCTGTCCAGAGCCTAGGACTTGGGGTATTAGATGCAAAGGCACAAAAAGAAAAGACTGCAGTGATGGAGCCAGAGTAATGCTGGGTGCTGGAGACTTGCTCCCTGGAGGTTGAGGACCAGCCCAGGACATTGGCCAAAGCTGGGATGCTGGGCTCTCTTGAGGCCCATCCTGTAGCAAGCAGGGTCCTGGGCAGGCTGGGGTCAAAGAATGTTTTCATGTGTTTTCCAGTGTGATGGGAAGTTCTTGCTAAGATGTAGCCCTAGCAGGTCACACAGAGCCTTCACTGTCAGGCATCCTGAAGGATGCAGCTCTCTAGCTCCTCGATACTGTGGAGTAGGGGGAAGACAAACTCCCTGGGCCTCGGCTATCTCCTGCTCCAAGAGAAGGCAGGCCCAGCAGCCCTGCTCTGTGTGTTCCGGCAGACCCGGCAGCTGGTCACTGTCTGCGACTGCAAGCTGCTGGCCAACTCCATCCATGGGCTGAATGCCGCGCGGCCTGACTACATCGCCTCCAAGGCCTCTCCCACCTCGACTGAGGAGGAGCAGGTGATGCTTCGGAATGACCAGGACACCCTCATGGCCAGGTGGACGGGGAGGAACAGCCGATCTTCCCTGCAGGTGGACTGGCATGAAGAGGAGTGGGTGAGTCTGCCATCCTGGGGTGAGAGCTAGAGCCTGCTTCCGGTCTCTTCCCTATCAGGTGCCTGAAGGATTGGGTCCTAAGGGGCTTCACAGGCTCCAGGGCTCCTTCCCAGGTGGCTCTTAGGCTGCCTGCTGAGGGACAGAGACTGTGCAAGCCCTTGTGTGTACATGGGGAGCAGGACTATGCTGGGCTGGACTGGCTGCCACCCTGCTTGGCAAGGAGATGAGTTTTTTCCTCTGGGCCCCCATCATGCTGGAGCCTTCTCTGCTCTTCCTGCCCGCTGCACTCTTGTGGCCCTGGCCACCCATGGCTAGCCCAGCCTCTCCCCAGTGCTGGAGCTGCTGCCTCGGACACTGTCTGTTACATTGCTGTTCCTCACACCCTGGGCCCTGAGAGTCTCTGTCTCTTGAGGGAAGGACCCATGGAACAACTTTTCACTATCCTTTGTTGAGGCTCCTCACAGCACTGAACTACTCACCGGAACAAAGTGGTCCTCCAGCCCTGACATACATCTTGTGGCCTGTGTGGGTCACACAGGTCACTCCCAGCATCCCCTTCTCCAGCTCCCCACCCTATTGGCTAGCTGTTTCCATGCCGTTCTAGCCAAGAGGGCCTTAGTGTGATGTGTGTGGTGGCTGAAGGCATCCTGTTGCAGAGTGGGGAGAAGAGAACCAGCGTTTAGTGTCCTGAGATCCTTCTGGTGGTATTGAAAGGCTGACTGTCTTCCACAGTTACCAGCAGACATCTCTCAGTCTTTCAAAGCAGTGACCATATGACATTATTGGTTGTTAAAAAGCCAGTACAACTTTGATGGGAATTAAGAAACTGTTCTTTCTTGTGATGCTTTAATGAGCAGGCAGCCCCAGCTGGGGATCAGTGGAGGGGGTTTGTGTTGTATCCTTATTTCCCACTGGTGAACTGGCCCACCTGGGTCCTGTTGCTTTGGAAGGAGAAAGTGTGGCTAAATGTGGACAAGAGCCTGGAGTGCATTATCCAGCGGGTAGACAAGCTGTTGCAGAAGGAGCGTCTGCATGGTGAGAGCTGTGAGGACGTCTTCCCCTATGCGGGCAGCTGCACCAGCAAGAAAGGTAACGGCAACAGCCATGCCTACTGGATCAGACCAGAAGACCCCTTCTGCGATGCCCCCTCCTCACCATGCCCTTCCTCCATGCCCACCGCTGCATGCCATCCTCATCCAAGCACACGTGCGTATGCATCTCTGCTTCCCATGCTGCCTCTACCTCATACTATGTCATATCTATTTGTCCATGCCTCTGAGTCCAGGCAGACTGCAGGGAGGGCTGGCAGGCCAAGTGGGGTGACTCAGGTCATGGAGCAGGAGGATGGGAGCCCCCATCCCGCCATTGTCCCCTGTGCAGCTGGAGCCCATGTGTGAATCTACGTTTCCACAAAGGCAGACTTTCAGGGCCCTCTAAGGTCCCACTGCCAAGGCTGTGCAGGCAGGGTTCCTGGCCTTTTCAGGTTTGTAAACAAACCCAAGAACCCAAAGGAAGTGAGGATGCAGATCCCTGCAGTATGGTGCTCCTTGCATCAGGAACTGTTGGGATGGAGGGAAAGGTGAGTCTTGCAACAACCCTACTGGATGAGGGATATGAGCAGGCCCCAAAGACTTGCCCAAAGCCAGTCGTCATTAGCTGGGCATGTTCTTACCTGTGGGAGCCTTGTCGCTTAGAGACATAACTCAGTCAGATACCTGGGTCTCAGGAGGACTGCGTTTCTTCTGTTCAGCACCACCCTTCCAGGGAGGCCTTCAGGAGGTGGTAGGACAGTGCCATGAAACAGTATGTTTCAGAGCAGCCTTCTCTCTGCAGAGACACAGGGCATACTCAGAGCCTGCCCTGCAGTATCCTTAAGAGCTGGGGGCTGCATGCTTTCTAAGCAAGTGGATCCTGAGTCCTGGCCTTGTGAGTGCTACCCACCTTTTCCTGCAAGAGCTGGAGAGGGTTTGGGGCCAGGGGCCTCTCCTTGGGGAGCTATGAGCCATCTTTAAGTAAGGCCAAGATGCACCAGGGTCAGGGCCTTTAAATTCTCAGCTGGTCAACTCCCATCCATGGCAGAATCGTGCTCCTTTGTTGGAGCCTCTTGATAGACCCTTTTTTGTGTATGAGGTGGCCATCACCTCTGTGGCTCCTGCAGTCTGTTTCCAGGGAACTGTCCCATCGAGCCCGTTTCCATGGTTTTCATGTCACATAATGTAACGTTATGTCATGTCCCCAGACTGGCCAGTTCACTGAGCTGCCTGTCTCTGCTGTGTTCTTTTTTTAAAAAAAAAATGTAAATTGTTTCTTTTTAAAGTTTTCTGAAAGTTTATTTCTCTGTAATATTTAATATTGTTTGTAGGGGCTGGGGGTGTAGCTCAGATGTGTGTGTGTGTGTGTGTGTGTGTGTGTGTGTGTGTGTCTTATTTGTAAGTTTTAAGTTTTTCTGCAAGTATGAAAAGTAATTTATTGGAGTTTTTTAAATTTAGGAGCTAGTTTTTGTAATCAGATGTGCTGCATATCCATAACTTGCATGTCATTTTCTTGTAGGCACTTCTTGTATTGTTTACATATAGACCCATTCAAATTCAGTTTCCCAATTATTTAAGTGATGTTCATTTGTGTTATTTAAGGTTTGACACATAATCTGTATGCCATCAGCATCAGCTCTGTTGTAGTCATGGGCACATGAAGCATGCATGAGGGAGCCTCCCTCTGCTGGTCAGTACTCAGAAGTGTAAGAGCTCACACACCACTGAAGAACTATTCATTGTCCCTAGCTAGATATCTCTAGCGCAGCCAGGAAACCATTCACGCCCCCCTGTGACCAGGAGGACAGGAAGAACCCAGGAGCTGTTTTGGTGACTCCCTTGTCTGCATGCCAGAGCTTGGCTCCATGGGACTGTCATTCCATTCCAGGTTAGGGAGTGGTCATCTTGGGCACGAGCAGGTTGTGTTCACACCGACTTATTTATTAAATGCACACAACTGTGCTCCTGAAAGCCTCATCACTTTTCCTTCCATTCTCTGCCTGTCTGGGTCCTTGGTTTTCCTGCCTTACTGCTCATTGTCCTGAGAACCAGGCAGGACCTTGCCTGGCATAGGGGACCCCCTGGGACCAAGCCCCAAGGAGGGCACCGAGAAGTCCTGGCCAACTGGAACCACCGGGACCCACACACTGCTCTTCCCTCCATGTTTCTCCACCAGTGCCTCACACCCTCCCTGGACCCCCTCTGCCCAGTACACCACTGTTGCCACTGGGGTGTGGCGGCTTCCATCACCTTCCTCACACATACAATGTACTTCTTATTCTCACACCCAAGAGTCATTTGGACCCCAGCCCAGATTTTTGTTAACCTGTGTCTGTGGATGCACCCCAGGTTCAGGTGCCCCCGAGATCAGGCTGAAATTTATATGTGCACACAGAGAAAGTCCACAGTGGTCATCAGATCTCAGGGGACTCCATGACTCAAGACAAGTTAGAGGCTACTAGTCTGGGAGTACCAGAATGACCCCTTCTCTCTCCTCTTTGGTTAGAAGATGAATTTAGCAAGTGAACTTGGACCCAGATGAAGCAACAGAAATGGTCCTGGCCCTGCTCTTTAGGGTCACCCTGGAAGCTCCCAACATAGACTCCTAGACCTTGCTTCCCATTCATAGATGTGGAATCCTGGAGGAGGGGATCTGAGGAGGCAGACATGTGTGTTTCTCCAGGTCCTAAGGATTCTTACTAGCAGGACACAGGCTCAGAGTCACTCCCAACTCTTCCCTCCCCGCTGGGCTCCTCTATTAGCTAGGTGGTCGCAGGGTACTTGGGCTCTGACAGAGAAGTCGAGCTCTGCACCTTAAGGTCCTTGCATTTTCTATTCCTGTAGGCCATGTCCAAATATGATTAGAGAATGAGGACCTCTTGCCGCCTCCTTTATTCCAATCCAGGCTGTAAACAGCTCCCTAAAGCTGGTTCTGGCTGGTCTTGGGATTCCAAAACTACCTGTTTCAGTACCCTGAAGACATCCCTTAACTGACAGGCTCAGACAAAATGTAAAGTAAATTTTTACCCCTGTGATTCCTTCTCAAACTTCTTGTCTCTCAGATGGCACTCCAGTAACTAGCAATTTTAGAGTTTTTAAGGAAAATGAACTGAAGTAAGTGACCTAGTTGTGGCTAAGTAGAAGTGAAATGTATTCTTTGAAGACCAGGAAGGGAGTCCTAACTGGAGCCTTCCCCCAAGCTATACAACTTCTACATTTAGTTAAGTCTTAAAGCCTAGTCTAGGGTTCATTACTGAGTCTTAGCATAGCAGTCTCAGTGGTCCGTCTTGAACCCAGGCCTGCCGAGTACATCAGAGCTGCAGCCCCACTGGGGATTTGCTGGCCAGCCCCTCTCATTTGATGTCGTGAGCTAACGTGGGCTCCATCATTGCCATGCCATTGATGTGGGTGCTTTGTGTGTGGCATGTATCACATTGTACTGTTGGATCCCTCATCCTGGAGAACATTTTATGTTGGAACATTAGCAACATGAATGTCAACGCTGATGAATCAGTGTCATGCACAGTACTGAGAGGGCTCCACTGCCTTGGAGCTGCCTGGTGCTTTTGTGAGACTTTGGGGACAGAGGCCCCCACCCTCTTCTCCACATGGTTAGCACCTTACTGAGAGCTGCTGCTGCAGCTCCCATAAGAGGGATTGCTGTGTTTGAACTGTGTCTGCTCCTTAACATCCCTATCGCCCTCCATTTCTGTGCAGATTGCAGCCCTCCTCCTGAAGCACCCAGCCCAGGTACGTGATTTCTGTTCCAGGCTCCGCTGACGTCTTGGTAATACTCGGGCAGCATTTGTAGCTAAATTACCCAAGATGATCATCTGTTCCCATGGCTGGGAAAAAATTTTAGGACTTCTTTGTTGTGAGGTTTGTGACTTCTTTGTTTGTGAGAGACCAGGTGGACTAAGGGAATTGTGGCCTGAAGCAGAATACCATGTGGTTTGGGTTTGTTTTGTTCGCTCTCTCTCTCTTTCTCTCCCAACTTTTACATCCTAAAACCTTTTCAGATGATTAGTGTTCAAGCGTGTGTGGGGCTTACTCAAGTGGGTAAGCTCCACATTTGTGAATACTTCCTGTGCATTAACCTACCCTGAGAGCAAAGCCCTGAAGACAGTCAGATAATACACTTGATCTTAGCCAAAAGGCTGAGAAGCGATAACAGTCAGATAATAAGAATCCACCTGAAGCCCATGGCATTTGTAATCACGTAGCATCTTCTCTTCAGAGTCTGGATGGAGCTCTGAAATTCCTACCAGCCATGGCAGTGGGGCTCAGTTGGAATTAGCAGTGGAATCTTCTTCCCGCATTTGCATGTAGAACCCAGTGTTTATGGTTCTAGTTCAGGAGTTGCCAAACTGCAGTGCTGAGCTAGATCCTGTCCTTAGTCTGCTCCAGCAAATATTATTTTATGGGAAAATAGTCATGCTCACCTGTTCACAGATCCTGGGTGGCTGCTTTTGTGTGGCAGTACCAGAGTTAGTTGTGACAGAGACCCTGTGACCTTCAGAGCCTGAGATATTTACTCTCAACTCTTTACAGAAAATGTGTGCCAACCCCTGACCTAGTTCATAATGAGCTTCCTGGATATGGCTTGTGGTTCTCCCCAAGTGTGCATGTGCCCTAAATAATATGGCTTGTTTGTTTTTTCTTAAACTCCAAAAACCAGCTATGTGATTAGTCTGATGACTGCATGTTGCTGAGTGGATAGCAGTGTAAGATGGCAGCACCCCTGCCTTCTATCTATAGTATAGCACACCAGCTGTGGCAGGAGTCACCGAGCCATTCCTGTCAGGTCTGCTCACAGAGCACTGTGATTCTCACGGCACCTGCTGAAACAACCCCAGAATCCCATTTGGAGCCAGCTTTTCCGCTGGCTAATCTGACCAGACACATCACACTCAGTTTTCCTCAGCCCTCACTGTTTCTTTTCCCAAAAAGTCAGTGTAGCCTTGGGCAGGTCTCGGTCCCTAGTCTCCTCCTCCAAGGTCACTGAGCCTTGGGGGATGCACAGATAGTTAACCTTGGTCTCTTCTTCCCCATTTTCTTGCCCAGGGCAGGCCTTACCTCTGCCTTTGTCTGTCCCTAGGCTCCCTGTCCTCCTCAGCTGTCCTCCACTGCAGGCCACAGCCCGCAGGCAGTGTGAGTACAATGTGAGGACCAGGAGAGAAGGCAGCAGGGAGTCCACCCCACTGAAGCTTGGGGACTTCTCTCCACTTGGAGTTTCCTGACATTGGTAGAGCCAAAAGGAAGTCAGCACACATTTAGCGTCTCGCTTGTCAGACTCTACTTGTTTTATGTCAACTGTGTCATTTCCAGAAGCACTGCTAGCTTTTCCACAGTTGATATCAAATGTACTAAAATGGTCCCATCAGGAGATCCTGTACAGCTGTATTTAAGTATTTAGAGTGGCTTAAAACACTCTTTCCCTCACTCTGTTCCTCTCATACTAATGAGAAAAAAAATGTAGAGTGTGGATTTTTTTTTTTTTTTTTTTGCGGTACCGGGGATTGAACTCAGGATCTTGTGCTTACGAGGCAGGTGCAGCACCTCTGAGCTAAATCCCTGGCCCTGTAGAGTGTGGATTTGAAAGAGCCCTTTAAAGTCAAAGTCAGCAAATGGTACAGGTTGGCAACTGGATAAGGAGCTTGTCCTAAAGAGTGGATCACCTACATTCCTTGGGACATTGCTTAGTTGAACTGATTGTTTTAGTAGCAAGACTTTCTCGCCAAAGGAAACAGATTGGAAACACTTCACCAGCACCAGCATCCTGGATGCCTTTGCTTGACCAGGGCCTGGGAATAAATCATGTTACTGCCCCTGAAATTCATCTTATTTACAATCATTTTTATTATGAGTTTCTCCTCAGATTGGAAAAATGCATTACTTTTCCTCCCCAGCAGACACAGGCTGACCTACTAGAAAATAGCATGGAGCTTGGAGTCAGTCAGACAAGTACAGATGCAGTTCTCTGTGTGTGTCTGGGAAGACCCAGCCTCACTGGGCCTGTTTTTCGCCTGTAGATTCAGTGAGGAAAGAGCTCAAAATTAGAATTGCTGAAGGCACTGGTAAACAGTGACTGATGGCCTGTGGGACTTGAGCCCCTCTCCAGGCAGACATCACTCTAATCTCCCTACCACCTTTCCCAGGACATTTTCATCTTTGCAGCCATTCTTCCTATACTCCAGTTTTGTTTTTGTTTTTCTTTTTTTTTTCTGATTTATCAAAACGATCATTCTGACACAAATTTTATTTATTGAGAACTGGGCAAAGTGAGAAAGTTGTATGGAAATGGCTTGGCTGAGTTAAATAAGACTACAGTACTTGCATATTCTGATCATTTTCAGCCTAAGTAATGATTTATGTATTAACTGGATATATGTATTAACTGTAAAAGCCAAATAAAATTGGCAACAGGTGCTGTAAGTACATTTACTTCTTAGTGAAGAATTGTTTTAGTGACTGCCTAGCCTACTCTTCTCTAGACTGTTTTGCTAGTAAAACCCCATGGCATTTTGCCCACTTTTGATAGGTACTGAATGTAATTGTCAGGCCTTCACCAGAGTTCTTCAGTAAAACAGAAACTTGGTCTCTGAGAATTGTGGGGGACAAAGAAGTTAGGCAGTTATGTGGCGCTGTGCCCTATCTTCCTGAAGAGGCCCCGTGTGGCTCTGGGGTCGAGGCCTCCCTCAGTGGCACCAGCCCAGGAGTCACATTTTCCACTTCTTGGTCCAGCATTCTTTGTCACCATGACTTATTTGCTAAGACCTTTCTGCTGTAGACTTTCTAAATTTAAGCCTGAGTTTTTCCATTACATATATAAATCTTCTTCTGCATACAGTGTGCCTAGGTCGTTTCCAACCTTTGAGCTGTTACACGTACTGCATCCCATCAACTGGATCCCAAGCATAGCCATTTTCCTTTGCCTATTCCAGGCACTCCCCCATATTGGTTTCCCAGTCGTGGGTTGACCGTACAGTTGTGACAGCAGAGCCAGGCTCTCTTCTCTCCTCACAGGTCACCCTCTGGCAGTATGGTACCATGGTCCAGGGCCCCCTGTGACTCAACACCCATCCTGAGTGTGTGTGTCACCAGCCTGGAGCCGGGTTTGGGGTGGTGGGCTCCCAAGCAGGGATGAGCTAATGCCTATTTCTGGGCTCAGTGACCTGTTAAAAATGTAATGGATGGGGCCACAAATTTAGCTCAGTGGCACCATGCCTGCCTTGTAACCTTGAGGTCCTGAGTTTGATCCCTGGTACTGAGAAAAAAAGTAAAGGATGAAGGCATAGCTTCTCTTTTAAATGCCTTCTAAATAGAAAGGGGAAAAGAGCCAAAGCCAAAGATACCTCTCACCCTGTTTTTCTCCCCTGAGGTTTTATTTTGAAAAGTTGTTTTGGTAAAGGGTCCAAATTTCCTTATATTTCTAAAAGAAAAGTAAGCTAGAAATAGTTGGCATCAGGTAGCAAGGTGGCACTGGAGAGGGAGTGTAGAAGAAGGGGACACACGGACAGCATGGAAAGTGAGAAATTAGCACAGCAGTCCACAAGGCTGGCAGCGGCAGAGTGGATCCTGTGCTCCAGAAGGGCAAGGCCCGTGCTTCCTACTGGCTCAGGAGAAGGGAGGCAACAGAGGCCCTCTCACGGTGGCCTTCTTTGCCCAGCTGGAGGAGCCTTGTACTGTGGAGGGCAATTGGCCTCTGCAGATAGAATCATTCTCTGGCCTTGTCATAACTTTCAAAGTCTTCTGCTGTCTTCCTGAACAGGCAGAATGCTGAGTATGAAGATGGGGCTCCCCGTAGTTTTGGAAGACCCAGGCCTGTGCCAGGGACACCCAAGTAGCGCTCATGTTTGAGGCTAATGGGGAAACTGTGGCTGGAGGATTGGGTCCTGGCAGACCTGGGGCCAGTTCTGGGACAGGGTGGGCCAGGCAGGGTCAGTAGATGCAGAAGGGGGGAGGTGTAGGGGGAAGGGGAGAACAGGATGGCTAGGCAGTGGGTGACTTGCTGACTTAGTAGAACCTAGTGCCTAAACCCTTTCTTTCTATTCACAACGACTCCCTCACTTGTGCCCAGGTGAATGGAGTGAGGCCCTTTACCCCCTGTTGACCACCCTCACTGACTGTGTGGCCATGATGAGCGACAAGGCCAAGAAGGCCATGGTCTTCCTGCTCATGCAGGACAGCGCCCCCACCATCGCCTCCTACCTGAGCCTGCAGTACCGCCGCGACGTGGTCTTCTGCCAAACCGTAAGCCCTTGGGGGACCGTGAGGGTGGCTGCAGACACCTCCTACTTCAGAAGAAAGAGGCTTGGGGCCCTTGCCCACTCCCTTCATGTGTACAAAGCACAGGTGGTCATTCTGCATCCTGCCTGTTATTTTGAAGTTTACTTTATAGAGAAGCTAGATTTCAAATGGGGGCGAGAGTACAAATTCATTTCCCCCAAAGAGGTGGCACAGTTAGGCTCTGCACTGCGCTAAGGAGGCAGTGTGCACAAAGGCCTCTTGGCTACCTTTTTTCAAAGACACAACAGGTACCTTAGTTCTGTGGCTCATTACAGAACTCCATTTTGAAGATTTCTGTTACCTTTAGTGAAAAGTTGAATGTCGCAAGTCGGAAGTCACCAGTAATGGAGTTAGTAAAGCATACAGTGCTACCGGCTTGGGCTGGTTCTCTGCAGGTCCTGCCCTGGCCTGCCAGCTTGTTCCATTGCACAGAATTCCTCCTATTGTACCTAACTCCGGCTTCAGCCAGAGCTAGTGTGCAGCTTGAGTAGATAGCCTTGCACTGTGAGGAATTATTCTAGAATTCCAGAAGGTTCTAGCCCAGGAATAATGCTGAGCAGGTCAGGTCAGAAGCTCGGCCCAAACCAAGCCCACCTTTGAGAGTGAGAGCACAGCAAGCCCAGAGTGTTCTGTGTCCTTCCTGTGGCCTCTGCCCACTGCAGCCCCAGAGCCAGAGTGCCCATGTTCTCCATCCCCACACTGAACCCCCAGGATGCAAGAGGTACTGCTGATCCCCCTCTAAGCAGCAGTACTCAGGGATGAGGCCACTGCCCACACTGTCTGCCCCCTGCCTCTGCAGCTGACGGCCCTCATTTGTGGCTTCATCATCAAGCTGCGGAACTGCCTGCACGACGACGGCTTCCTGCGGCAACTCTACACCATTGGGCTGCTTGCCCAGTTTGAGAGCCTGCTGAGCACCTACGGTGAGAGCCTGCCTGATCGCCAGCCCTCCCTCTCCGCTTCTAACATGAGTGCAGACACCACCAGTGTGTAATGAGCACCCAGAGTCTGTGTGCTACACACGCAGCTCTTCCCCTTGTGGCTGCCATTCTTTGCTGCGTATCTTGAAGAGCTTCCTAGTGGAGGATGGCTGGTGATTGTCTAACCAGGCACTTCGGTAAGGGATTTGGGTTGTTTCTGAATTGATTCTACTGAACTTTTTGTGCAATGACCCTGCACACAGAAGGTACTTGTGAGCGGGGAGGAAGAGTCACTGGGTCAAAGGAAAGAATGTTTTAAAATGTAACAGCTGTTTCCAGACTGCTGCCTAGAGAGGCTGTGTCTTCTTGCCAGCCTTGTTTCCAGTTTATTTCTTGTGAAAGAGTGAAATTGGACCATTGTTAAAGATATTTGTCAGCCTTGGCATTCTAGGACATAGAGTTGATGTCCCGCCCTCTGTGGCAGAAGGGTGTGAGCACAGCAGAGCTGCCCGGTGGTTCTCATCTCAGTCTTGAAAAGCTGGCATTGCTTTCTGTCCTTGTGCATTTCTGTTTCCTTTCTGCAGTGGGTCCAGGGCTTGATGTGGAAGGGCTGAGAAGGCTGGCACCTGCTTCCACTGGTTGCCTGTATGATACAGGTGTGGGGTGACAGCAGCATTTGGGGCTCAAGAGCCTGACCCCACTGCACCCCTCCAGTCTGCACCATGCATGGAGAGAGGAGCAAGGCCCTCCTCTGACAGCCTCCTTCCCTCTCTATGTGCAGGTGAGGAGCTGGCCATGCTGGAGGACATGAGCCTTGGAATCATGGATTTGCGGAATGTGACCTTCAAAGTCACACAGGCTACTTCCAATGCGTCCACTGACATGCTGCCTGTCATCACAGGAAATCGGTAGAAAATCTGCGCACCAGAGCAGTTCTTCATTTGTGTCAGCTTAATGGGGTGTACTCTTCTTTTTTATTTTTACTCCTTTTCATTCTGTTGAAAACACTTGCTGCAGCCCCTACTGTAATTCCACCCCTGAAAGGTCCAACTGGGGTTTGGGTGTCACAGAGCCTGAGGGTGGCCTTGGGGCTGGAACCTTGGCCCACGCTGCCTTCAGTGTCTGGCTCACACTGCCCTTCCTGTCTCACTTTCCTGCAGTGATGGGTTTAATGTGCGGATCCCCCTGCCAGGCCCACTCTTTGACGCCCTGCCCCGAGAGATCCAGAGCGGCATGCTGCTGCGTGTGCAGCCCGTCCTCTTCAACGTGGGCATCAATGAGCAGCAGACCCTGGCTGAGAGGTGCGTGGCCTGCATCGCAGGGTGCTGAGTGGCCATGGGCATGGTGTGGGTATGCTCGCTCGCACCTCTTGGCCTTTTGCTGTGCAGGCTTTGTCACCTGCCTCCCAGAGATGGTTCGGCACAGCCATCTCAGCATTGCTGCCCACACAGAAATGCCCCAGGCACAGGCTCTGTTCTCAGAGACTCAGGCTGGTGGGGAGAGAGGGAGATGGGTGCTGTGATGGAGAGAAATGCAAGATTTAGGGGTCCTGAGCAGGGATGCCTAGTGTGGCCTGAGAGGGTCTGCAATGGTGGCCACAGGGGATGTGGGAAGTGGGTTATTTTTATTGTCTAAAAAAAATTTTTTTTGTGGTGCTCAGGATTGAACCTAGAGCCTCCCACATGCTAGGCAAATGATCTACCCCTGAGTGACACCCTTAGTCCCTAAAGTGGGCTTTGTAGTATGAGTAGGAGTGAGCCAGATGAGAGAGGAGGAGAGCCTGGGTGTCCCAGGCCAGGAAGACTGAACAGAGGCCAGTGTTGGGAGAAACTGAGTGAGGACTGGGGCCATCAGGATCCAGGCGGGGGTTGGGAGGCAGGGCAGCATGGCCTCACGGGTGCAGCCAAGAGTCAGCCCTTGATCCTAAAGGCTTGTGCCACATCAGCTCCTGTGGGATTGCTTGGCATGCAGCAGAGAGGAGTCGTGTGCAATGCGTGGGGGGCAGCGTGAAAGGGCCAAGCCTTCTATGAGTACATGAAAATCTGTCCTGCATATCATTCGCACTCATGTGCTCTGTATTTGGGTATAAACCGTATCTTAAAGTTCCTGCTGTGAAGGGAATGGGTCTCCAGCATGAGGGCCTCTGGCCCCAGTGGCCCCTGTGTGTGGGCCCTGAGGAGAGGCTGTGGTTGCTGCAAGTGTGGAAGAGCTTTGGAGAGGGCAGAGCATCATTGACTCACCTGTCCTGCAGGCCATGTCACTGGCTGTGGGCCCAAAGGCTGTGAGGGGAACACACGGTGAGGAGGTTGCTGGAGAGAGACCGGGACAGAGGCCCTGCCCTGTGTTGGGGTAGTGTGGGGGGTAGATGTTGAGAAGGGGCCAGGAGAACGAGGTGGCAAGGGGTGAAGGGCAGGGTTTGGTCTCCAGCCGGGCGCGGGACCAGGAGGACCCGGAGGAGGCTTGAATTCCAGCAGGTTGCAGGGCCCTCTGAGAGGAGCAGAGCATGAGGTGTGGAAGTATCCTGGGGGGCAGAGGGAGAGTGGCATCTCCACATCCTGTAGCTGTTGAGCAGCTGTGGAAGGGCAGAGGCAGGCAGAGCGTGATGGAAGAGGAGCCACAGTGGGGGAGGGGTTGGGCTTTTTTCCTCCTAGCACACAGGAGAGCTGGGTTTGCTACTCAGATCATGCAGAGGGAGAAACCAGGTCCAAGACAGTGTCACCCCTAAAGGAACAAGCTCCCAGAGGAAGAGTGAGTCCTGCCCCCAAGGGACATCATAGGACTATAAAGATGCTGATGCCGGCTGGGCATGGCAGCAGACACCTGTAACCCCAGCTACTTGGGAGCCTGAGGCAAGAGAATGGAGAGATGGAGCCCAGCCTGGGCAACTTAGGAAGAATAAAATGTCTCAGAATAAAGTGAAATCACAAAGGTTAGAGGTGGAGGTCAGTGTTAGAGCACTTGGCCGGCAAGTGGCATATGCATGGCTGTGGTTCAGTGCCCAGCACCACAAAACAGTGACAGAAAGCGGCTGATGCCAAGGGAGGTCATGCAGCAGGGAAGCGGAGGCCTGGGTGGGGACCAGTTCTCAGACTGCAGAGTCTGCATTGTTTAGTAACCGCCTTCCCCGCAGGTGGCTTATGCACCTCCTCCCTCAGGTACCTGGCACAAAACCCTTGCAGTCTACAAGGCAGAGCGAGGGCCTTAGGCAGCCTAGGGGGACAGTGGCCAGTGTTGTCTGTTCAATAGGTAGGGGACTTTAGATTTTAGTCCAGGGCCACTGCCGTTCCCTCTCCTCAGTACCTTGGAGACAGGAGGACACTGGTGCTCTGAACTGTGTAGCTGTATGTGGGAGTTCCTATGTAGCGCTACTCAGGCCTTTTGGTCTCTGGGTCTGGCATGCACCTTGCTCTGAAAATGCCTTAGGTGCATCTGTCATTCTGCGTGGTTGCTGCCCACGAAGTGCATTTAAGCTAGTCCCAGCACTGTAGAGATGGCTTCATACTCAGCAGGGGAAAGTGGCTTAACATTTAGACGTCCATAATAAATGTCTTAAAGATTCACCATTGTTAGCTCTCCTGCAACTCTGTGTCAGGAAAGTGGCACAAGCTGACTAACAGTGTTACCTTACCCCTCCCAGGTTTGGGGATACATCTTTACAAGAAGTCATCAATGTGGAGAGCTTGGTGCGGTTAAATTCCTACTTTGAGCAGTTTAAGGAAGTTTTGCCTGAGGATTGTAAGTATTCCTCCACTCACAGTGGGTTCACCTGCTTGTCCTCTTGTCACTTTGGATGTTCTGCTTGCCCTGCTGCCAAGCGTACATGTGTGCACATGGTTACATGTGCACATGTGAGCCGTCCCTTCCCTTACACACACACACACACATACACACACAGCAACCTGGCTTGAGCCCCACCCCACTTATTTTATGAGCTGCCTGTGCATCTTCCTCCATGGTACTTGGAATGGAAATGTTGGGAAGATCTCCTTGCTAGGTGTTTGGGGCAAGAGGGCCCTTGTTGTGTCCTCTGGAGGTCACAGCAGTTGTTCCACTGATGCATGGCTGGCTGTGCCCAATGAAAATGCTACAGACTGGGCGCTGGAAGACATAGAACTCAGGGAGGAGCCCCGAGTACACGGCACAGCCTTTGCTGGTGCATGCTTCTGAGTGCAGCACAGTGCATTCACTGAGCACCTGCCCTCTGTAAAGTGTGACAGGACAGGGGGTCAGTGAGACCTTGGCCCTGCCTGGAGACCTGTCCACCCTGAAGTTGGCTGGGATGGGGGCCCAATGGGCTCTAGAGAGGGAGGAGAGTGTGCTGGGTGGGTTCCTCTGCCTTCTCTTGGAAGGTGCAGAGGATCTTAGCATTAGAACTGGTGGCAAAAACATTAGTTCCGTGAGCATCTGTGGGTCATAGGTAGGGTAGGCACTGGGCTGAGTACCCTGCACATATTTCAAATCCCACAACATCCTGCAAGGTGGGGTTAGTGCCCATGTGCAAATGGGGAAGGGGTTGCTTGGATGGTGGAGGAAGCTGTCCTGTTAGGGGAGGGACTATGGCCCAGGGTCTTAGGGCCAGACAGGTTTCTTGTTGGCAGTGCTCAGTTGAGAAGAGGGGGTGGTTGGCTGTTTTTTCCAGGCTCACCCAGCAGAGCATGCTGGTTGGGCTGGAGGAGGGGACACAGGCTACTGATAGCCCAGGGGAGGCTGTGAGACATCAGCTGAGATGTCTCTCTCACCTAGTGCCGATCTGGGCAGAGCAGGCAGGAGAGCCACCCCTGTAGTGGCTCCTGGGAGTGAGGGATAGATGTTATCATCTCCTGGCCTGGAATGCTGTAGAGAGAGCAGGGCCAGCTGTGTACTCCTAGGTGTGGCTGGGGTTCCCCTGGAGGAGGCTAAGCTCTCCAGATCCCCTGAGGTTGCCAGGCCCTTGGTGGTTGAGAACTTGTGCCCAAGGCCCTGCATCCCTGGCAGGGGCTTGTCCTCACTGCCTCCCACTGCCTCCCTTGGCATGAATACTTACAAGAAGCTTTGTGGTGGTTTGGTGTCCACTGTCCACCCCATGGAAAGAGCTGGAAGGGGATGAAGTGACTGCCCTTTGGAGGTGACACTGATGTGGCAGTGATCTAAATTAAGGACTCACCACCTTAGTAGCCTGTCCAGTTGCTAAATGCTTCCCTCCCTACTTGGCTCTAAACCTGCGTGCTCAGGCGGCTCCCACAGTCTTGCATGCCATGTCTTGGGTGTGGCTCCCTTCCAGGTCTACCTCGGTCCCGGAGTCAGACCTGCCTGCCAGAGCTGCTGCGGTTTCTGGGTCAGAACGTCCACGCCCGGAAGAATAAGAACGTGGACATTCTCTGGCAAGCTGCTGAGGTACTGGTTCTAGTGAGGAGAAGCTTGTGGCTCGCCTGCGGCCAGCCAGCCTAACAAAAATAATGATAAATCAAAATCTCAGGGTAGAGGCAGCAGATTTCCTCAGGGCACCCGAGAAGTCACCAGAAATGATCAGAGACTCGGGAAGGTGCTGAGTCCTGCCTGGACCCTAGTAAACTTGACAGTCTGTCCTTGGGTGACTTGGCAGGCTGATGGCAGCTGTCAGCTTCAGGAGCCTGCCTGCATAGTTGACACTAGCTGAAACTTACTGCCCACAGCAGTTGGAAATAGGTCCAAAGAGAGACCTTGGTGGCCTTCAAACCAGCTCAGACAATCCTTCCTGCCCTTTTGGTCTCTTTGTTTCCCTGAGTTACTTTCATAGCAGACAGAGCCTGAGAATCCGAGCACTTTCTCGCTCTCCCTGATGAGGGGATGCACTTAATTCACATCCACAGCAGGATGACCTTTTCTGTGCTTGGAGTTGGGGGCCCCACTGGCCTTCATCCCCTGCCTGGCCCAAGCACAGGTGATGGAGGAGGCACACGCAGCTGGCACAGCTTTGTCCAGGTAGCAAGTGGGTGCGCTATCTTAGCTTCCCTGAGCAGCTCAGCCCATGGGGCACTGTCCTTGATGTTAGCAAGTGCTTCTCTACTTTGCAGTCTCTTCCCAGCACAGGCATTCTCAGCCATCCCATTCCAGTGCTTGGTGGCTCTTCCTCTGTCAGACATCACTCTTTTTGCATGCCCTCCACACTATGGATCGCTGCCAGCCATGGCTACTCTTACCTATCAATGGCACTCCAAGAAGTAGACATTCTCCTCTCTGTATAATCTCTTCTGTACCCCTCCACATGCCCCAGCAATATGACTCCATGGCATGGAAAGTGCAAGATGACTTGTTCTGGCCCTCTTCCCCTCTCTGCCCAGGCTGCCCTTTGAGTCTTTAATAACAGCAGAATGTGTTTTGAAAGTGCCAAGTGACAGAAGCTTTAGTGGGGTTCACTGGCCTCACTTTTCAAGTATTCTTGCTTTGGGATCTCATGTGGCATGCTTTTTCAAGCTGGGCCCAGCTACAGGATGGGAGGCAGGGACAGGGCAGAGGAGCACTCCTAACATTATTTCTTTCTTTCTTTCTTTCTTTCTTTTTTTTTTTTTTTTGGTACCAGGGATCTAACTTGGGACCTTGCACTTGCAAGGCAGGTGGCAGAACCACTGAGCTAAATCCCCATCAACATTATTTCATTTTGAGGGGGAGTGCTAAACATGTGACTAACTGCACTGCATGCCTACTATGATAGCCTCTGTCACAATGCCTTTGTGAACTTCAAAGGTGGAGCAAAGCTTTCTCGCAGAGTCCAGAGGGTGGCACAGCCAGACCCTGGGATGGTGCCCTTTAGTCCTGTGACTTGTGTTCCCAGCAGAACCTCAAGGCGTAGAAGCATAGATTCAGAGGTGCAAGACTCAGAGACCTTGGATGGGCATATTGTCCACTGAACTGTGGGCATCCCTGGGAGCAGGTGGGTGTGGCAACAGTGCCAGGCCACCTGGGTACCGTGTGTCCCAGAGCCTCTCCTTCTCTGGGTCAGCGAGGAGCAGTGACACCAGGCAGGCTGGGCCTGGGAGGAGAGCGTCCCTTAGACAAGGCACTGATGATGGGGGTGAAGGCAAGTTTCCTGGGCTACAGGTCCCCCAAGGGCTGGGTCTTTAGGTGGCTTGGTTTCCATTACAGCTCAGCAGGATACAGAGTGGGGAGGAAGGCAGAGCCAAGCTGGGCCTGGGCATGGAGTTCCTGCCCCATGTGCCCGGCAGGCCTGTGGGAAGCTGTCTCCCTGTGAAACCCCTTCCTAAGCACAGTGTGTTTCCCACTGGTAGATCTGCCGCCGCCTTAACGGGGTCCGGTTCACCAGCTGCAAGAGTGCCAAGGACCGCACAGCCATGTCGGTGACACTGGAGCAGTGCCTGATCCTGCAGCATGAGCACGGCATGGCCCCACAGGTCTTCACCCAGGCCCTGGAGTGCATGCGCAGGTGAGTGCCACTGCCCGCCGCCGCTGCTGCTCTCCTGCCCGTGTAAACTGCAGATGAGCTGGTGCAGGCAGAGCCAGGTACCCAAGCCCAGGCTCAGCGTAATCAGTGCTGGCCCTGTCCAATTCAGGGGAGCATCTGACAAGCAAGGGAGAGCTAGCAGTCTTTACAAGCAGGATTGTGCTGAAACATAGTGCAGCAGGCCTGCAGGGGGCAGGCAGTAAATGGGGAGCTACCCAGTGTCCTCAGGCCACCTGCCTGCTGGGGGTGGGGCTGAGTCCACACCAGAAGTTTCCTAGCGGATGCACACTGCACACGGTGTGCATTTCCAAACTTGAGTGAAATGCGTCTGCAGGTTGCACCGGTTTGCTCTGCTTCCTCTCTAGCAAAGGACATGGTTTGCTGTTATGAGCAGTGTCCAGCGGGTGTCTCATGGTGATAGTTGTCAGTGTCCCTTGGCCACCTCACCCTAATGATGTCCTGATTCTGAGGCAGCAGGTGTGTTTGCAGAATAAAACCCAGAACTCCAGCTGTCCACTGTTGATCGATGGCTTGTTTCAAGCACTGCTGGCAGCCCCTACCTCACATACCAAAAGAAAGGATAAGAAACCTAGTTTTCCTGTCTCCTTCAATGTAGTCACCAATGCTGTTAAAGTCTCGTTTCCAACAGTCACATCTACTGAATGTCTGTTTCATTTGTCCTCTCACCAAATTCTTTGAAGTGTTCAATTCTCTTATCCTTTCTGTATGTTTCTGCCACTTGACCTTCTCACAGTAATGCACGAAAGTGATGCATGAGCTCCTGCCTCTTGATAGCAGTGTTTTGTAAAAGTGGTATCATTTCTGTCCCTGGTTTGTCTCTCTGAGTTAATCTAAACCTCTCTGTTGAAGTTCTTCCTCCCTCCATCCCTTTGGCCTGAGCAGTGGTGACTCAAGCATCCTGCTCTTGGGCATTAAGGGCTGCCCTTAGGGACCCCCACCCTGCAGGCTCCACGTCCACTGTGACCCTGGCCTTAGGTGGGCATGTGTGCACCTAGCAAGCTGCGCAGTGGGGAGAGGGGCCTTGTTGTGGTTGGGGAAGCAAGGATCAAAACTGGATGTGATCTGGTCAGCATTAAAGGACCTAAGTGAGGCCTCCTGCTCTCTGTCTGGTTTTGAGCTCCTGAACAATTTCAGCAAAAACAGTAACTCATTCTGACCACATCTGAGCTCTAGGCTCTCAGAGTCATGGGTAAAGTGGCTCTGGAGAGAGATCCAGTGTAAGTGCAGGGCCATTCACCTGCCCGCTTCTAGCTCAAAGGGGCTCGATGTGTAGGCCAGCTTTTTTGTTGTTTTGAGGGAAGGATTTTGTTTGCTTTGTTTTGAGGTGTTTTGTGCTGGGGATGGAAACCAGGGCCTCAAGCATGTTAAGCACACACTATACCGCTGAGCTGCATTCCCAGCCCAGAATAGCTATTACAATGATTATGACACACACAGCACTCTTTATAACTTTAATCATGTAAGTAATTGATATTCCTAGTGGGAAAACTAGAAAATATAGATAAGCTCCTACACTAGTTCTTCTCTCTCCCTTCCTCCCTCCCTCCCTCTCTCTCTCTCCTTCCCCCTCTCTCTCTCTCCGTCCCTCCCTCCCTCCTTTAACACATACATGCAACCCTCTTCAGATGAATCCTCTATTCCTGCAATTACGGAGCGATGTCAGTGCTTGGCACGTATTCTTTCAGAGGCACGTACATACCATACTTAGTCCATCCACGCATCGGTTAACGAGTGCCTGAGTAATACACAAAACACATACACACAAATGCACTTGTAGGTACCATTCTGCCATTGTTTTAGCCTACTTTTCCCATTTAGCTATTTTGAGTGTTTCAGACTAATAAATATAGGCCTTATTATTTTTAACACATCATACTTTTCTGTTTCATTGAGTATCAAATTGTGGCATATGATTTTTGACCATTTTAATCAATGGTGAGTGAATATCCTTAGATATTTTCCTACCTACATTTGCCAGAGTGATTTCTTAGGTTACAAAGCATACACCTTTGTCAGGCTTTGTAGCCATTTTAATGTAAATTAGAAAATCACCCTCCTGGCTGCAGTGCCCACCCGCCACCCTCCACTGGACTTCCAAGCTTATTGGAGAAGACAGATCCTTAATCCACTGCGGGCCCCAGGCGGCTGGGGCAGCAGCCAGCACCTGCAGTCCCCCGAGACCCCTGAGTAGGCAACATGAGTGTCGCCAGTCCCTGAGTGCAGGAAGACCTTGTGGTTCCCTTGCTTTCTCTCTTTATCTGACCAGGTGGAAAACCAAGCAGGCACGCGGGCGGCACAGGGTAGGACAAAGCTGACACCCCAACTCCTGGAGGTGCAGGGGAGCAGTGACTGAATGTTCAGCAACCAGCTTGCTCCAAAAAAGCTCTGATCTGTAGTATTTGGCAATTTCTGGAGCTTAAATACTCCACCAGGGCTCATTCCCAGCCCCCAGGGTGGCACCACCTCTCTGGGACGAGACACGTGAGCCAACTCCAGCACACTGGTGACAGCTTGGAAAGTGTCCCTTCTCAACAGACCAGCAGGGTCACCCAGAGCTCCCAGGTTCCCTGGCCCTCCTGCCTGCCCATCTCCAGTGGGTCCTACATAGCCTCCTGGGACCTGGGAGTCCTGTGACCTCTGACTGCACGTCACTGTCACTACCTGTGAACATGGATGAGGCTGCAGAGTCGGGTGGTCCCAGGACCATCTCAGTGCATTTCTTTCTTTCTGCCTTTCCTTTTTTTTGTTGGGGGGGTGGGTGCTGGGGACTGAACTCAGGGCCTTGTGCGTGCTCACCACAGGCTCTGCCTCTGAGTGCACCCGGCCCAAGGACATTTAGTGCCCAAAGAGGGAGAAAGCTGGAATGCCCAGTGTGGGATTGTGGGGCCACCTTACAGAACAGTATTTTGTTGGGTACACCATTGCTCAGGCCCTGCCACTGCTCAACCTGAGGCCCACAGCCGTCCAGGGAGGGGTCTGCACCGGGCTGGTCCCTGGGGTAAATGGTTTTCGTTTGTGTGGTGAATCAAGAGGCAGCTTGGCCACCTCGGTGTGGCAGCCCCGCTTGGGCATCTGTGAGAAGGTCAAACCCATGGTTCTTCATGTTCAGCTTGCTTCTCCAAGATACCCGGCTGCAGCATGCGGGGCCGGTGGGCGGTGTGGGGCTCTGCTTGGCCAGCTGAGAGACAGTGAACATGGAAAACCATTCTCCAATCTACATATGTTTATTTGCAGTGGACTGCAGTATTTTTTCTTATTTTCACTTCTCTTTCTCTCCTTTTTTTCCTGTGACTGTGCTGGTTTTGTTTTGGTCTTCTTTCACACCCTTCTCTGCATACCATTTTTTCTTTCTTTTGTGGCTTCATTCCATTTTTTTTTATCTTATCTTTTGGTTCTCTTCCTTTTTTCTCCATACTTTTGGATAAAATCCATCGCATGTCTCTTTTTTCTTTCTTTCCTTTCCTTTTTTCTTTTCCTTTCCCCCACACTTTTTCCTTTTCACAGCATTGGAACACGGGAGGTAGTCACCCAGAAGAACTTGAGCGGCCTGGTGCCCATCCGAGACTTAAGGCTAGACCCCAGCCTCCTCTGTTCCATTCCTTTATTAGCTCTGAGCCCCAATTTACTGATTGTGTGGCTCTTTCTGAGCATAGCATACCTGGTGACCAAATTGCGTTGCAAATGAGTATCATTCTGAAAAATTAATGAGTCACAAGAAAAAACAAAAGTGCCCGAATATGTCCAGCCACCGTGTACCTAACTGAACAGAAGGAAGGTGTCAAAGCGTGGTCTGCCAAGAAATGTCTCATGCCTTACAGTTTGACGTTTTGTTCTTCTGAACTGTAAATACCTGCCAAATTATTTCGCCAAGAGGACTTGTTCATTTCAATCATGTAGCGTCTTCAGTGCTTGTAACATGTTCTTTCCTTATGTGCCCTGTTACCACTTTATTTAGCTGGCCTGGAATGATTTGTACCAAATCTCTTACCTTCTGATGTAAAGCTATTTACTACCTGTACATCTCATGTGCCCTGTTTCCAAGAGAAGGGAATTCTGTCTAAAAAGAATTTGTATATTTGATACTTTAAGTGTACTGCTCACTTTACCCTTCCATTTTAAAGAAAAGATGAAAAAGGATATGCGCTTTATAACTGACTCAGATCAACCTATTTAATAGGACATGTACTTTCTGCTTTCATTTTAAAGCATAGTCCCTGGATTACAGTAGCAAACAGTTTGCAGAATCATACCATTTCCTTGCTTATTTATTTCCAGTTGAGGATGCCACAGCTATGAATAGAGTTGCACATTGTATCAAGTCAGGCACATAAAGATAACATACTGCACATGACTGTAGATTTAACTCCAAGGGTCATTATACTGATTCACACTGATTCCAGGAATTAATGTACATTATAACAAAAGGACATTAAGTTATAGCCATTTATTTTTCTTAAAAATAGCATTTTTCATGTAAAAAAATACATCTGTAATTCCAGATTAAAGTCCAGACATCCCTGTCTTACTAATCACATATAGTTAATGATGAAGAACAGCAACAACAACAAAAAAGTCAAAGAACAATTACCAAAAAATGAGGCTTAGCTTTTGGGTAGTTGTGATACATATAACCGTGAGAGATAATTCCTAATATTATAACTCTTCATTTGAACATGGTGATGTCCCTAACACAGGATGACTTGTAACCTTAGCATTCATATGTGGCAGAATAAGGGCTGGGGATTTAGCTCAGTGGTTCAGCCGCCTGCCTCGCAAGCAGAAGGTCCATCCCCAGTACCCAAAAAAAAGAAACTTTAACACATATGTGGTGGAATAATTGTATGCCTGTAAAGGTGACCAAATAAACCAGGGGAAATTCTGCACACCCTGAATAAGAATCAGTGGCTTCTGTACGCCTCTCAGGTCATATTATGTTCTGCTTCTGTTTTCTATCTCTTAACTGGCTCCCCATACACTATATTCTTATGAAGTGGATTTCTTTTCACCAGTCAAAAAAAATGAATGAATTAGAGAATCTGGCTTTTCCAGAATCCCGTCACCCACATGCACACAAGCCCAGTTTACCACAAAGTCTGACCTCTCCATTTTCTAAGACTTCCAGAGCTTACCCACAGCTCTCTCCAACTTGGCATCATTGCAGAGCGGGGCTTTTAGGAATCCTAGAGGTAGTCAGCAATGACAAATGCCAAGCTGAAACTGTCAGTTCTCCAGTAAGGCCATCCTTCTCACACCCCAGGGACTCCTTCTCACTAGGCCCCTCTGGCACCACAGGACCCCTGGGCAGGTATCACCACCTGCTATCCCTGTTGCTGAGTGCCCTGGTCTCTTTAGAGCAGACTTTCAGTAGAGAATCTCTCCCTGATGGCCAGCTGACTGTGCCCTAGATCATGCCCTCTTTCACTCCGAGGTGCGTACTTCAACTCTTGGGGACCATTTTGTTTGCCTCATTTGAAAAAATAAAACCCACAGCCTCTGCTCTAGGTGACAAGTTCCTGATGCCCGTGGTAGTGGCAATTCCTGCACATGCCCACCTCCATGGGGGTGGTGGCCAGGCAGAGACCATGCATGGATGAGGGAGGCCATCTCCTCCCCTCCCAAAGCCCCTGGGTGCCCTGTGGTGCTGGCCAGGGCTCCCTCTCAGGACCCCACCACACAGCAGAGGGAAGCTGTGTGGAGTCAGCGGAGCCCTCCTGAGGGCTCCTCCAGGTCATTGTGGCCCAATTCGCACCTGTCATGGTGCCAGCAATGCCTTCCTGTCCTGTGTGAGCTGGCCATTGGGTTGAGAGAAATGGAACAGAAGGACAAGAGGACCAGGCCCTTCATTTCTCTGTTCCAGGGGCTGGGCAAAGGCCGTGCACTGATCCGTTCCTCTAGTCAGTACAGGCAGCAGGCGGCCTTTCGTTTCCTTTTTAAAAAATATCTGAGAAAAGAAGCTCAGCATGCAGGCCCTTTATGCTGAATTTTAATGGGCTTTAGCTCATGAAACAAGGGCAGATGCATATTCAGAATCTTGTCTGCTTTAGCGAGAAACAGACAGAATACAGCAGGCAGGAGATGGTTCATGGAAGGGGAGTCTCGATGTTTGGTGCTGAAGCAGTTTTAGTATGAAGGCATCGTTGATGTCATCCACCCTAGCTTCAGCATGAAGACGGCTGTCTGAGGTTGGAGAATCCTGCTCAGGAGTATTTCCTAGTCAGTTCTTAATTAGTGTGATGCTCACTGTTGACTGCCCAGGTTGTTTCAAGTGGAGATCTTGAAACAATGGCACATTGTCCCTCCGCAAAGCAACTCCCTGGCCTGCTATAGGGGGCCGAGACCCTGAGGCCTCCAGATGGGCTCCAGGGTAGGAGAGCCCCACCAGAAAAGGAAACCCAGAGGCCCCTTTAAAGTTTGGTGTTGTTCAGGGACTGTGTTTGAATTTCTGTTTCAAAAATGGATGTCCTTGAAAAATAATTTTGATATAATAAAAATATGATCAGATCACCTTAGAATAACTGAATCTCTCTTGCTGGCCTCCTCAGCAGCAGAAGCCAAGGACCACCAGAGCACCTTCTCACCTCTGTAGATCTGGCCCCAAGCCAAGTGACACCTCTTGGAAACCCACATTTCACTCAGGGGCAGCATGGAGGCTGTAGCCAGATTTTGTAAATGCCAGCATTTGGGAGAAACAATTCAATTTAGAAAATAAATTTGAAGTGTAATCTTGATAGTTTCATGCAGTCAGCTAAACCAGGTATCAGCTCCTTTCATATGGAAATACAAATTATTCTTCCTCCCTCTTCATGGGAGTTTGGCAGGCCCTAGTGATGGTTGCTTCTGAGAAGTTTGCACATTTCTGTATAGAGAAGCCATATCTGAAACAGTCGTTCATGTAAGCGCTTCCAAAGAGTGTGTATAGGAACCTATATTTTCTGCTTTAAATATAATTATATTTTTATCTGACCACTGAATGTTTGACATGTTTGACCCTGCTCATGCGGCCTAGGTGTTCAGCTCAGGCGACACATCCAGGTGTGGGTGGAAGGCTCTGGGACAAGAAGGCATCTGAGCCACTACATTTGTTCTGAGCCAGGTGGATATTTTGCTCAGCTACCTGAGCTTATCTTTTGAATAAAAATCTCTGTCTTACCATAAAGTATTTCACATGTTCTTGATAATGGGACTGTCGTTTTCACTTGGAAAGGCTTGAGCAGTTGCCAGTGACATTTTTAAGATGCATGACATAATGGTCTTCATACAATTCAAAATGTTTTTTAAAATTACTGTTTCTGGGTAACTGCAAATTTCACGTCTCATAAGGGGGATTTTTATACAGAACTTGATAACTAGATGAGTTCACTGCTGGTCTTAGAATAGTACACAAATACCAAGTTACACTGTGCTGTGGGAAGGCATTTGTATTCAAAATCACATTTGCCTGTATATTTTGGCTATACTAGAACATTTCCCAGAGAACTCCTTGGAGGCTCCCACTGAGAATGTGAGGCCCACCTGCCTGCTCATCCTCCTGGGTATCATGTGTTTTGCCTCTGGGTTGCCATGACAACCACCATCACCTGCAGAGGGGGGTGATGTGCTAGTGAGTTCTCTAGGGAAGGGCACCTGTGGGCTGTCACTGGCTCGGTGGCATTTGTGCAAGAGGTGGCCCTAATGAGGGCAGTCCACCTAGAGGAGACCACCGTGGGCTCACTCCTTTACAGTGCCCTGAGAGTCAGGTAGACAGTGCCTGGGCCTGAGGGATTGCTTTGCACCCAGAACAGCTGTCCCCTAAGTGGAGATGGAATCAGAACCGCCTCCTCAGCCACATGGCTTTTCTACTTACCAAATTCTGCAAGGAAAATCTGCGTTTTGAGTTTGATGTATTAGTGCTCGCTGTATACAAAAATACAGCTACTTTAAACAGTAAGAGTAATAATATTTCTCTTTCCACTAATTTGCTATGTCGCAGAACCTTTGAGCCACAAGTTATGATAGAACCTGAAATAACTATATTGGAGATAAATGAAATCATCAGCTTAAAGAAATGCACTTCCACTTAGGTACAGCACCGCTTTTGGAACTCCCAAGCACACGGCCCCATACGGCTTGTTTCATCTTTGTGCTTCTTACTTGCTTGTTTAGAAACCCACCATTCTATGTGTGTATTTGTTGTAAATGAGTCCTGCACTCGTTTAAATGAATCATTTTTAATGGTATGAAAATAATCAGTTCATTTCATCTTAGTTTAAGTCTTTTCTTTTTTTTCCTTTTTTACCGCTGTCATTTCTTGTGCTTGTTTTTTCCCCAGTGAGGGTTGTCGAAGAGAAAATACAATGAAGAATGTTGGAAGTCGCAAATATGCATTTAATTCCCTGCAGCTGAAGGCTTTCCCCAAGCATTACAGGCCTCCCGAAGGGACTTACGGAAAAGTTGAAACATGAACACACGGTTTCCTCTAATTAGCTGTCACCTCATAAATGTGGGTACCCTCTAGTGTAATATACGAATTCTTCAAGAAGACTGGAAGGATTGGCTTTTTATTTTTCTGATTTTTGAAAATATTTCACTAAAGAGTCTATGGAGCATGTTCTTTCCGTTGGAATCCACAGGAGGTAATGTTGGCTCAGTAGCGTGGATAATAACTATGCCCATTTAAGTAGCCTTCAGCTATCAGCCAAGCTAGCACTGGTAGTCACCTAAGAATCCAGTTAGCTCCATCTGAAATGCCAGAGGACCTTTTCAAATGTCCACTTAGGCGCTGCTCACCTAACTTATTGTTCCACAGAGTAACTCAAAAGTGAGCATTGAATTACAGTCTTCTTAGAAATATGAATGTAGAATAGTAAGTCACCCATGAAACAGTTGGATCTTGGGCCTTAAGTTTGGGGGGCTTATTCCTAATGCATTACCCAGTGCCCACCATTACCCATGAAACCTGAAGGTGAGACTGAGTGGTCAGCCTGAGCTAAGCCTCAATGTGAAGGTAACCCCCACAGAGGAGCCACACATGGGGCCACGCCTCCTGTCCCTCATGAGTTCCAGTCCAGGCTGTCTGCTTGAGTCTAGAGCCAGCAACGTGGTCTTTTGAAGCGCCACTTGTAGGTCCCACAGCACCCACAGGTGCATTGATCCCGCCTCCCTGGAAGTTATGTCCTGAAGGACCATAAATGTGATGTCGCTGGTGTCTAAAAGACAATACTTAGGTGAGGAATCTATGACTATGTAGATATAGTGGAAACCTAAATATTTTCAGAACAAAAGTTCTCTTGTGGGATTCCCGATCTTTTTCTACAAGACAATACAATCATGTTTGAATGTCTGATGAAAGTGGCTTATTTTTAGGTTTGCAATAATTGTTACATTCCTCTTCTCATTCTGTTATATAAGATAGGACTATTGAGAAACAGTTGAGGTAATCTCTTCAAATGAAATTTTGAAAGGGATTTATGGGCCAGGAATCTTTGGAATTTCATAGACAATGATGTGTGGTCATCTTTTATGAGGTGATGATGAGTCTTATCTGCACATAGCAGAGATTTTTCTCCTTAGGAGTTTATATGTTTTATCAACTTTTTTATCATGATTATGTTTACATATTATTTAAAAGGCTGTAAAAGAAATATATGTGGCACAAATTAATGATCCTGATACTAATGATTTGTAAACATGTTGGAAATACATAGACTTCTAGATAATATTCTTTTGGCTCCTTTAGAAACATGTATGAACTTGGACCTGGAGTGCTGAAGCACAGGGAGGACCAGTCCTTGGAAGGGATGTAGAGTAGGTGGGCACCTGGTAGGGGTGGAAGTAGGTGACCTGGCCAGACCCCTTCCTACCCAGAAGACAGTGTGCAAATCCAGAAGGCAGCCTACCATCACCTGAGCCAGCTGGGAGGATGGAAGCTGATGTGGGGATACTTTAATGAAGAATGGTGACAGCTCGCTGACCCTCCCTCATCAGAGTTCACTGTGGAGGGCAATTGGTGGAGAAACTCTTGTCCACCAAACCTACTGGTATCAGATCTTCCCCTTGGTCGGTCCCTGGTCAAAGGCAGTTCGTTCTCATGGCTCATTTATAAAGCCCTTCACCTCTCCACCATTTCAGTTATTTTTAGTTCCATCTTTTCCTATTTTAACATCACTACCTTTCAGAAACTTTTTTTTTTTTAAATTAAATGTTACTCATATTGTTTCCTGACCTTTTTTGTTCAAAGAACATTAAATATCTGCATCTATAAAGGGAATACAGTTAAGTGTTGACTTGTGTCAGCAGTTTTGCATGGGGCACCTTAATGTGAACTATTTTTCCAATTTTTGGTTTCTCTTATGGCTCACCATAAAACTCTTAACACTTGGCCAATTGTGTAGAAAAGATTCCGGCTTCAGTGTACTCTCTGAAAGCATGTGACCGGTTCCTGGTGGCATCAGGCCACACTGCCCAGCCTCAGGCGGATCCACTCCTTGTGTCCACCTGTAGGTCCCTGAGCTTCCCGCTGCATCACGGAGGCCATGTTACAGGTTCCATCCAGTGTCCTCTTGACCCCTTTGAAAAGAGACACCATGACAGGGACAGCAGGAAGGTTGTGTGGTCCTGTCAGAGCTCCTGCAGCACAGTTGCCTTCAGTTTCCTTTAAAGATGTAAAAATATTGTAAAATACATTTTTGTCCCCACACAATTGTATTTGCCAAGCTAGTGTTAAAATACTTTTATTTATTTGTTTTGGGCAGTATTAATATATATATAAACATATAGTCACTGTTTTATATATTCTTAGCTCATTCAAAGCCATGTATGCTGTAAATGTGCTAGTCTTTAGAATGACAGATAATAAACAGCTGACAACATGAAGCTGAGTCTTGCCTGGTCATTCCCCACATTGGAGGCACCAGCTGCATGGCCAGTGTTGCCTGGTCCATCCCTGCTGGGCACCGCATCCTGTACATTGGTAAGCATGGGGCCCTGCGAGATTAATGCTTTTTAACCTGCATGAATAAGCATTTCTCCAAAATGACATTCAGATGGCCAATAAACACAGGAAAAATCTGCTCAAATCATTAGCTACTAGGAAAATGCAAATCAAAATCCCAATTAGATACCACTTCATACCCAGTAGAATGGCTGTAATCAAAATAACAACTACTGGAGATGATGTGGATACTGGAACCCCCTCTACATCATTCCTGGGAACATCAAATGGTGGTATAGCTACTATGGAAAACTTTGTCTTCATGACTAAGGTGTTTAACATTAATTTACATTATCATTAATGTTAAAGGTGGTGTCATCGTACAATCCTATAATCTCCTAGGTTTATACTTGAGAAATAAAATATGTCCATGCAAAGCTTGTTTACATATATTCATAGCTTTATAATAGCCCCAAAGTGGATGCAATGCAGTTAATCAACTGATGAGTGGATAAAATATGGTATGTCTATACTATGGAACATTATTCAGGAGTAAATAATAAAGTACATAGATGCTGCATGTTGATGAATCTTGACAACATGGTAACCAGCCACAAAATGCCACATACTATACATACTATAATTTCATTTATATAACAAGCCCAGAGTAGGCAACTCTGTAGAGACAAAGTATATTAGTGGTTGCTAGGAGTGAGGGGGAGAAGAATTGAGAGACTGCTGGCAGGTGTGAGTTTCTCCTTAGAGTGATGAAAACATCTTGGAATTGTGTTGATGGCTGCACCCTCTGTAGATAGTGTAAAAATATTTAATTGTATAGTTTAAGAGTAAATTGGTGGTATGTGAAATTCTCCAAATAAAGGCTCAATAAAACTATACCTAAACAGAAAAAACAGGGTTTTGTATAAAGTTGTAGCACTCAGGCCTTAGAAGTTTAGTTCGGTGTTAAGAGTGCTTGGGTAGCATATGCAAGGCCATGAGTTCAATGTCCAGCACCACAAAAAGTTGTAGCATTTAAATAGGTATACAACAGTTATTGAAGAAACCCATTTTTCCTTTCCCTGTGAAAAGCAGTAAACACAGCAGACCTCAGTGATATTCTGAGGGATTCTCACAACTTCTGATGAACCTTGAGTGGGCAATACAATACCCTGATTGCTTTAGCTCCAATGAACTGTTGGAGACACTATGGCTTTTCATTGATCTTCAGTGCCAAAAATAAAGTTGGAAACTTGGATTCCCATTTAGCTCTACTGTATTAAGTGATCAGAATAAAACTACTGAAGGAATAAAATGTAGGGCTGGTGATACAGCTCAGTAGTACAGCACTGGCCTAGCATGCACAAAGCCCTGGATTCGAACCATAACACCGCAGAAAAGCCTAAACATTTCCAACACTTCCTGTTTTTCACCTTTGCTGTCTATAGTGAGTATCTGTTGTTTTGGTTTGCTCCACTGCCCTCTTTAAGATCACTCATCCAGTGTGATTCCAGTGGTTGTTATCAGTCACAGGCCTGGCCAGGGTCAGGTGTCTGATGATCCAGGGGAGACCCAAGTCCATCAGTAGGATCTGATTTGTGGACCCTGGTAAGGAAAGTTTGCTCTCTCTTTTGGATCTCAGATGTTAAGGGTGTGGGCTTAAGGCTGATATTGGCTCCTTATGTGGAGAGGGTCAGCCTGCCCACAGCCAAGAGGTGGAAGGAGCCCTGGCAGTATCTTCTAGGCTGGCATCCAGCTGTGCCAGTGGAGGGTTTTAAAGTTTTGAGGTTGGTACCTCATCAAACTGGTACAAAAGGACATTTCCTCTCCAAGAAATAAAACATAATTTATTTTAAAACCAAACAGGACAAACTGAATAAAAGAAAAAGTTTTATCCTAAACTTTTCTAATAAACTTCATCTCGACGGGCTTTATATTATTGACTTTGTCAGTCACATTAGTGGCTTCCTGATACACAAACTATAATTTGATTAAAGAGTCAAGTTAGAAAATAACCTTACCATTTCTTGTGCTTTAGGACAATCCTCAAAACTGTATACCTAAATTAATCTTCTAAAAACAATGTAGATCAGGAAAAACATTTCCCTTATACATATTAATAGAATTCATCTGTTTTTTCCAGTGTTGTATGGAGAAAACTCATCTGACCAAACAGATAACAGCAGAAATTATTGGCTTTTTTACTTTAATGACCAGAGAAAATCCTCTGTTGGTTTTCATCTTGCCTTCAGCAAAATGGTATCAATATCCTTTTCTTCCTCTGAATCTTGATCTGGCATCCAACTGAAAACAAATGTATAATTTAATCAAATTTGGTACAATATAATTAATTAAACACAACTTTGGTAAGAGGTGTCACTACATGAAAGAAGTAAACCATTTTCCAACAAAATAAAAAAGGTGATTATCAGAGCTACCTAGAAAAAACACAATAAAGGTGCCCTTAAAGACAATAAGTAATAAGTAAAGGATGGTCAATAAAGATTTTCTTCTCAAGTAGAACTCAAACTATATTTATCTTTTCCTTTGAACAATCAATATACAGGTTCTTCTCAAAAACTTAAAATTCTAATTGTTTTATTTAGGTTAATATTCAGATATATTTGTAATCTTTAAATAGCAATAGAGAAAAGGAGAGAATCCTTAAAAACATTCAGTAACACACAGTTGTCTTTGCATTAAAAACTTTTAATGCGAGTTCCCGCCTGCTAGGCTGATGGCACGGTCCTGATGTAAGCCTGAGTGCATCTACTTCTTCACAATGGCCAGGAGTGTGGAGGCTTCCAACGTCCGCATAAGGCCAAATTGCATAGAAGGCAGTTCATGCCCAGAAATTCCACAGGAAGGAATTATTTTGGAGATGGGCCTGGCGGTGAGTCCAACACAGCAATATGGGAAAGCCAGCCACTTACTCATCTGAGCACAACACAAACTAGCTAAGAGCCATATTTTAAAAAATAAATTTTTAAATGTGAACCATGGTCAGAATGATGTACTGTTCATACTGTAAGAACAGCAGATTCAAACTCGTAAGATATACCCTGTCTGAAACAGTAAACAAAGTTACCTACACAATCTAATCAGTCATTATGTTTCTGGTACTGCCAACCCTGTATGCATTAAACTGAAGTCACAGTAAGCATGGTGTGACTCCACCCATTCTGAGGATCAGTAGAGACTCCTGTCTTGGGGAAAGAACGTAGCACCCACTACAGTGTGCTAGAAGTTCCCTGGACTGCTCTTTCTAATGTCACAGTAAGTGAAGCGCTGCAGAAGTCAGAGGCACTTTCACTTTATTGTGCAGGAGATACGTAAATTGTGAAAAGTTATAATTTCTTAGTATTTTTGGAGATCAAAGAATAACCTTCAGGCAAGGAATTTCAGGGAGTTTACTGTAAATCCAGTCATTTGATAGGTTTGCATAGTACAACTCATTGTTATCCCTTACCCTAACTCTACTCACTTGACAATGATCTAAACAGGCTTTGGAATTACTGACAAATCTGAAGGTTTTCTTGTACGTGGGTAACAAAACTATGAAACAATGGAAGAAAAATCCTTCTTTGTTAAATGACAGGAAAATATGGCAGAGAGCTGTCACTTGAGAAAAGACAGCATGGCCAAATTTAATCGCTGGATCTGATAGCTCAAATACTTTATTAAACTTCCCAGGTCATAAACATCTATACCCTGTTTCTTTTGTGAATAAAAGGGACAGGATTTGCAGTGTACTTCCTAAACTAACCAAAGCATGCTCAAGTTTAAGTTACTGCCTTCTTTTAGGTGAGGCAGACTTCTCACTTCATACTTTTCTTTCACTTAAGAAAGGCTTCTCAGCTTTGATTCCAAAGATCTCTGTTGATCTTTGACCAAAGAATATTAGCACAGAACCCGAAAGATTAGTACGGTTTCTTAGGGCCCCCTTCCACAATCCATCACTCCAAAATTCAAACATATTGACGTGTTCTTATAGCCACCTGGGCAGAAGTGCACACACCTTCAGCTTGCACAGTATGGGTCTGTGTACAATGCCAAGTGACCTGAGTTCACAGTGACTGCCATGAACTCTGACCCACTTCTACAAACTGCACTTTCATTCTCACATTTTCTGGACCTTGTGAAGATCAGCACAGCTGTGGTCTGCATTGTGACAAGGCAACAGCACCATCAGCGAGGGCTTTCATGAATGCTACCTAATGTTTTAACTCCCTGGAATAAGAGCCACTGTCTACATCTTTTTTTTCCAAACTATACCACTGCAACCTATGAGTGACTATTAAGTCACTCACATATTTAGCCCTGTGTAACTTTTTTTTTTTTTGGTACCAGGGATCGAACTCGGGTCCTTGTGCTTGCACAGCAGGTGGCGAAACCACTGAGCCAAATCCCCAGCCCTGTGTAGCTATTTTTTTAACATAAGCTTTTAAAAATCTTTACTTACCATTGATCTTTTACACTCAAAAAACGAGTATTTCAGAGCTTTGCAGTATCCTTCTTTCAAGCACTCCCGAGGGGATTTTCCTTCCTGTGACACATAGAACAGTATAAGTACCTGGGACATTCCCTCCCAGAGTATAAAACAACTGTCCTAAAAAGTTCTACTAAAGGCACCCCCTACCAAGGTCCTGAGTTGTGCAGAAGACACTGAATCACCCCACTGCAGACAGGCAGGTCTGCCCACACCCTACCGAGGTCCTGAGTCACACAGAACATGCCGAATCACCCCAGTGCAGACAGGCAGCCACCTGGTTCCACACTACAAAGACGCAGAGGACACCAGATCACCAGACCAAGGTACTGAGTCTCCCTGCTCCCGGCCCAGAGACAAGAGCTTCTGAGCCGCTGTCCCACTGCTCCTGGTCCAGAGGAAGGGGCTTCTCGGTCACCATCCCTTCCCGCTGCTCCCAGCCCACAGGAAAGGGCTTTTGGGTCACCATCCCTACCGCTGCTCCTGGCCCCTGTCCCACCTCTCCTAGCTCAGAGGTAATCCGTGCAGGCGCTAACAGACCCCCGCCCCAGTCGAAATGAGAAAACACGTAAATAAGTCTCAAAACCAGACTTCCAGATCACCTACAGCAACCCCAAA